AAAACAAATTAAATTTCTACAAAAATAATGTGTGCCAACTTTGATACACGTATCAAATAAATAATAATACTCGTTAAATCGTTGAATTTTGATATCAAAGTATCACTGATAATTGGAAATGTATATTGCTGAGGGATGTGGATATTACACACCGCCCGAGGGTAAATAATTTACAGTTGTAAATAATTTCTACAAATCCGCAATCGTTACCGGCTAAGTTTATTTATTTTTTTATATTTTTTTGAGAACTCTGCCACGGGCGTCATCCTCCTATTAGTAGTTCCATCTCGTCGACTTACATTATATACCCGTGATTGATGGTGCACACAAAACAAATAATATTAAAAGCGCCCGTAACGATTTTAGACGGGCTGTGTTCACTCCCCGTTGAAAAACTTATCTGGCCGGCCATAGGAAAAGAAGTCCTTTCGTGTGTCCGAAGATACAACCCGGTAATAGCGTGGTATAATTATGATAATGACGATTCGGTTAACACCACACCCAAGTCTGGACGACGGCGACGGGTTTCTGGCGTTTATATTATCATCATTCCAGATCTCCAGATTATCCTTTAGCCTTTTGCGTTGACCGATGAATAGGGTAGCCGAATCGCCACAGCTCTACACGATAAAACCCGCTATCGTCGGCACTTTGTTTGATGGTCGTAACGTTGTGGGCGATTCGAGGATAAAGTCGTTTTTGCCCTGGGTTCGCATTTATCAGGTAGACGACGCGTGCTTACTTCGTGAATAGCCGGCAGTAAAAATTATGAAAGAATATTATCTTGAAGAAAAAAAATAATTATCAAAACGTTCAAGTGTTGTGGCGTTGCTCAATTGTTGTGCTTTGTTCGTGTGAAACGGTCCACGACATCAATAGTTATTTTAGTATTGGCTAGTACTCGCGTCGTATTCACTGATCAGTCACCTTAATTTAGATATTCGTCCGTGGCCATGTTGACGGGTAACAAAGTAAAAAAGTAAAAAAAAAAAAAGTCAAATAATAATTAAAAACACAAAATATTGTCGTCGTGTCTAACTCTCAGATTTCGGGAAAGTTTTGTCACTAATAATTATTCATCGTTGCTGTCACATTCAGCTTAAAAATAGTTTCAAGTTATAATTGGATTGTTTATGTCATCACAAATAACACAGTGAGTTCAGTAACATTTTTCATTTTTTTCTCATGAAACAATAATAAACGTTTATTAATTTTGTTGTTTTCGATGAATCCAAATTTGTAAACCGCCAAGCTGTAAAAAAAACCCATCGTTTTGAGGTATTTTTATCTTTTTTTTTTACCTTTAAACAGTTTAAAAAAAAACAATTTCAAATAGAAATAGATTCCCTTAAGTAAATTTAAATCTGGTCTAGTATTAATCTAGAATCTGTAGTCCTTTTTAAACACTAAAGAAATGATAAAAATATTGATTTTTAATTTGTAAGCTGCTAACAACTTTGGGGACGATTTAAAAAACTACCAGTTAAGCTCTGAAGCGTCCACGTTGGGATTTACCGAAACAATTTGGTTTCCATGTTTCCATCACCTCAAATACACGAGGGTTAATTGTTTAATATGTAAATACAAAACTAATTATGAAATTAAAAATAGTAGGTACTTATATTAAAACTAAAATACGAGTTCCTTACCATTTTCAAACAATACGTCTGTCCGTTCTTGTGGTACAAATACTTTTACAACAATATAGCTAAATTTATTTATACGATAAATCAAACTGGACGTGAGCCGAACACTTCTGCCATCAAATTCTGTAAATTTGTACTCGACTCACTTATAATATTTATTTTTATAGTATTTTATTATATAAATATAAACAATATATAAACGCCCTCGTGGAGGGTTTGTGGGAACCGTATAAATATTATGTGTATATCGGCGGGAAAAGCTGGCGACTATAACAAGAGGTTGGCGGTAGCAAAAAAAAAAAAAATATATATATATATATATATAAATAAAAAAAGGAAAATTATATTTTTATGTCGAGTCCCACGTCCTGTATGTGAACCCTATACATACATATAGAAGTGTATGATATTTTTTTTACGATCATTTTTCCTGATGTATTTAACGATCACAAAACGCAGCTCCTCCCTTTATTTTGTATTGCGGGTTTCCCTGCAGATCTACAAAACATAGTCAAACTGTATCATAATATTGTCCTCCGAGCATTATGAATGGAAAATTAAAACCATTATAACGCGTTATTACCGCCTTCCGAGAAAGTTCGAACAACGAGTTTGTTTTATGATACCCGACACGGTGCTTAAGAGGTCGCCCCACACACTTCATTTATTACAGGGACCCCGGTATGGGCAATTTTTCGCAGAATTTCAAACCGACAACTATTGTGTATTTGTCAGCGGCGCCAAGTTTTATAAATTAACTTAGAAATATTAAACACCCGTCCGACTTTCTTTATCCCCAAACGGCAGCATTGTTTACTCACAACTTTCCGTCGAGTCTTATTATAATTAAACGGACCTATCTTTTTAATTTATACACTAATATACTTTTAATTATTATCAGTAAATCTCGGAATCTATATCTATATGCGATGCTTCTAGTCTGCGCAGAAGTTTATTTTTTATGTAAATCAAAATTAAATTATTTCATAATTAAATATTTTGAATTCGTCTCTAAAAGTAACATTATAGCATTATTTTACCACGCTCAAGGGTGAAAACAGGTATTAATAAAGTGAATTTATTAACAAAGGTTATAAGTATACGTCATATACCTATGGGTCTTAGACAAACTTCAAACATTTTTGACAAAGTTGTAACATTTGCCTGGTCAACGATTTTGCGAACTGTGAAAGTTGTGTATCAATTATATGTGAAAAAAAAATATATATATTTTATTCCTTACAAGTTACAACATATTTTATTAAGTGAATAAAAAAAATAAGAAATTCATTTTTTTAATATTGTATATAAAAATAGTATTTTTTTTTTGATAATATAAAAAATAGACTTATAGCATTGATATAATAGTAATAAAAAATATGTTTTCTGTTTTGGTTCTATAATGCAAATTTTGACGCTTTTTCGGTGACACTTGAAGGATTCGATTGATCAAATATAATTATACTTTTTGTATAAAATATGACTAAATATATATATATAAATAATAGTAAGTATATAGATTATAATACGGCGTGGCATAATTTGTGTGTAATCCTTCATTATAGTACATAATACTCTGTATTTTGATTTAAACCGATTATAATATTCTTGAATAATTCCAGTATTCATTCACGAAAGAAGGAATAATTAAATAACAAATGGTTATCATATAAACGAATAAAAGGCAGTTTATTCGGTTTTCGAAACGAACGAAACCTAAACAGTGCTCTTTAGATATTTTCTATAATGTTTTATTACCAATCAATGAATTACCGTTTTTAAAAAAAAACTTCTAATACAACTCCACGTGGTGCGTCCATACATGTATATTGATTGGCTGTAGCTTTTTTAATGTAATATGACCGTTGGGCTTCTGGAAGGTTTTAAAATGCTATATTGCCTATTGCAACGGTCTAATGACTGCTAGTGGGGCGGACAGACTTACTGATGTACCATGTATTTGGTTTTGAAAATGAAATCCGATAACGGTTGAATTATGATAGCTCGTGTACTATAATAGCTATTATAGTCTTTGGTCGATAGTAGCCCCTTCTTTTTTCTCTTTTTTTTTTCTGCTGTCTCGTTAAAACTTTTTAAGTAAAATTGGCATCGTTGTTCGAGGCGAGGTTGATGTTAAATTTAAGCTACGGCGAATGCTGTCGCTAGAAATCCAATTACTGGCGCACGTTGCTGCTTAATTAATCTTTTACATGGGGACGATTAAAAATTACTAAAAGTGCCTTGGTATAATTATAGGTTATTGCTCGAATGATGATAATAATAATTTGTCTCGATTCGACACATTGTTAGTTCGAACAATATTATACAATATATGACTCGTGCGTGGGCACAACGTTATGTATGGCAAGTACAAATGATGATATATTTTTTTCGAAATAAAATCAACTACATACAACAAAAAGGGATTTGTAATAACGAAAAAAATTATATAGAATATTATAAAATATTATTTACCGTTTTGGCAACGCCTTCAAACAAGTTATGATCCGTAATTTTGATCACTACTAGACTAATATATAATATATTACAATGTAGTATTGTAATATATTGTACATTGTCTTATGTATAAAAGCTTAGGCCTTAGCGAATTAAAAAATAATTAAAATATTAACTAAAAATCAATGGAGACGAATCAAAATTGGATTTTTTCGGTTTAAAAATTGTTTATAAGTATTTTCTTGTTTTATGAAAAAGCCATAATAAGTATATTTTATAAGGCATTTAAATGACTTTAGTCTATAACAACGGGACTTTTGTCTTAAATCACGATCATTTTTTTAATTTATGTTCTAATTACAATTAGATGAAAAATAAAAAATAAATGTTAATGCTTCCTTGATCACATACCTACGTGACTGTGTTCATAAACATTGTAGATCTTAGTATCTTAAAATGATTAAGATTTGGGAATAAAATAGAAATGAATTTCGTTTAGAAACATTTTCATTAGGTTTTAATGACATTCGTTGTTTAAATATTTTTATTGACATTCTACTCAAAATGAAATACATGAAAATAACGTTCTAGCAATGCATTGCCAGGTAGACACGCTAACATTATTGTTATCAATATTCGATTTTCTGTGTTAAAACATGATAAAAAACATAATAACACGCTGACAGCTGTTTTTCAATGAAATGTTATACTATAACGTTCGTTCAAAACACTATTATTGCCGCGTGGAGCTCAAAGAAATGTTCTGATAACGGGTTTTTTTTTTTTTAAAAAACATTTTACTCTATTTTCGCTAGGTATTTATACTATTGGTATCACATTATATACCGGATATAATATGTACGTGTAGCGCGACAGCTGTGATGATGATGTACTCACATTATCGAAGTCCCGGTCTAGGCCGTCCGAGCCGCCGGCCACATTTGTGCACTGGAATCCGGCCAAAGGTCGTGGATTTCGACACTTTTTTAAAAAAAATTTTTTTCAATTATTATAACTCGACGGTATTATCGTCGCCCCGTTAAGTCGTTTCGGCGGCGAACCTATCGAAACGCAAAAGCGCAGTGACGAAGAGACGGCAAACGGACAAAAGACAGAGGCAATTTCCACGACGACGATCACGACCGGGGGGAGGGGGGGGCGGGGCAAGTAGTTTTGGTTTTTTGAAAAAAAAAAAAAATTTTTACAATTTTTTTTTTTTTTTTTATGACCTTCGGAGGGGCGGGGATTTATTTTTTATGCGAAATGCTCAACGGCACACGGTACACACCGACAACCGTACGGTCGTGCGGCTCGGCAGCGGCGCACTTTCAGAACTTTCACTGTTTGCAGCCGAACGCACACTATGAATGAGAAACGCTGTACGCCGCCGTTCGTCCAATGCGGTACTGGTGGCCAAATCTGTAATTACTGCACACCCGAATCGGACAACGTGTGCGGTGTATATTATATATATATATATATAATTTTTTTTTTCCATACCGCGTACATCATCATAATATACCTGCTTGGTCAATGTTATTGTTTTGGTTTTTTTTTTTTTGCCTACCGGCCGCCAAATATACCTACCAAGTTTAAGCTCATCTTCCCTCCCGCGTGTGTCTTGATTTGGATTGATGAAATCACTGTATCGTTGTTGTTGTCGTCGCATGATTTTTTTTTTTTATATTTTGCGAACGCCCGTCGACCACGTCAAAACCAAGAATGACGGTCATAGTTTTTTTATCCGCTCGGTATAATATTTATGTTTCAAGCCGCATTTGTCAAATTTGAACGGCCAAAACAAATACAGAGGTTTTCGCGCAATCGAAACAACACAAAGCGCTTTTATATTTATATTTTTTAAACACAGCAAAATACTATCGAAACGGTTTTAGGAACGTTAAATAAGTTTATACAAAAAATCGCGGAAACAGAGAAGGTATAGAAGTTTTCAATAAAAGTAAAAACGATTCCAAGCGTTGAACTTTTATAAAAAAAAAAAAAAACAATTTCTACAATGGTCAAATCCTCAAGTGTGTGCCAATAATATACAGGGTGTCCCACTAGATTTGTCTTCAGTTAAACTTTTGAACCCTCAATCCGTGAACTGCATCCAAAAAATGTTTTTGAACAAATTGTATTTCTTATACACAAGAAAGTAAACAAAAGATTCAAAGGAGAATTGTAAACTCTATAAGTAAAACAGTTACTAGTTAATGTGTTTGATTACTAATTTGTTACTGGAGTAATTCAACTTTTAATGGTGATTTAAATACTGCCCGCTCCTATAGTCATTCCTCGTGTGAAACATAGACCACGTTTTGATTTTCAACCGTTTATTTTCTTTATACAAGCGATAAACCTAAAACTAGGCTTAAATGCTACATTGCTTTATGTAATGCTATATAACTATACTTATTAAACATTAGCCAACTGTTATCATGACTTTTTTATCCATTATCAGGGTGTGCTCTTATAAAACGATATTCTAATCACGTGATGTAACTTCTTCGAAACTTCTTCTTCTAGGAAAGTCTTTGATCATGCTCGGTTCGTGTAAAAAATAAAACTTTGGTGTACTAACATAATGTGATTTGGCTTTGTTTTGTAATAACTTTTAAGATTTTACATTACTTATCCGTTATTATACTATTTTACCGTACAACCAACACCCCAATATCGTAATAACAAGTACAGGGACTATTATAATAATGTGTACAGTAATCGATTGCTTAAGTGGCTGCGCCCAGTTTTTTTCCCCTGCTATAACATATTATTATAATGCTGCCAATATTATGTTGAAATGGTATGATTGAATTGTGATGTTTATCGAAATTCACGTGTGGATGATCTACAGCTGTTGATGTTTTATAAGGCTGATAAAAAAAATATCCATTTAATTGTTTTTTTTTTTTTGTTTACATTAGTTTGGAGTTTCTTTGAATTAGCTATAGAATGTTTATACGCCATTTGAGGACAATAATTATTGTAAAAGCATGGAAATAATCAATATTTTTTACTACTGAATATAATATTATATAATATATACTCAATGCTTTCAACGTGTGTTTAAATCTATGGCGTAAAAACATTTCCCACAAAAAGGTCGGTTGTTTAATGTTATGTAAAAAGAGTTAAAGCATTTACATTTATGTACCCTATATTTCGCTGTAATTTTGATTGTTTACTGTTTTTTATTTTTTGTCGCTTTCTACTAAACTGCAAGTTGAACAACTATATAACTATTGTGCCGGTCTATCCGTAAAGGGGTTTTTTTTTACTTGATATTTTCTTTTACTTATGCACGCCCTTTTTTTTTTCCAGGAACGGCTCGATTTATGTGTTGTTAATGTTGTCATGTTGTTTTATAAACTACTTCTTAATGTAATTTATATTGCATTTGTTTTTTTTCCCCTTTATAACCTCAACTCATCTAATAACGTTTATTTTAAAAAATGTCCATTATGTACTACGTCTAATTGTGCTTGCCGTTTAGTTATTACTATTTGTAAATCGTATTGGTTGAATATCTCTTTGTAATTTCGTCAAGTTTCCCAAAGTAATCATCAAGAGGCCGACCGGGAAAGCTGGGCGTGAGTGTGATATATGTATGATACCGTTTCTATAGAGGCACCCTTAAGTGTGCATAGCTGCCGTGTATTTGTAACACTGTTGTGTACTTTAGGCAATGGTGTTAATCTACAAAAACCGCAATTATAAGTTACAGTCTTTAATGAGGATCACCCTGTGTTTGCTGAGTGTTAATGGGTTTTGTTTTTTTAATACTGAGAGTATAGTTTTACTGTTACCACCGATTGAACGAAACGCATGTATATTGTGCACGGTTGGCTCTACTAAAAGGCTCTAAATGCAGCACAAGAACATCCACCCGCATCAGGATATTATGTCGTCGACTGATAACGAACGTATCCGCATCCGTGGACAGTCTAAGACTTGTGATTTATGTGTCAATAAAATAAAATTCTTAAATATTTCGTGACAAAATGTCGCCTTTGGTGTAAAAATATACCCAACTAAATGTCTGCAACACAATGAACATAAGCAAATTCAGATTGTTTATTACATTTTATGGCTTTTTGGATTTGGAACAATGCTCTAGCAATTCGCGCCTGTGTCAGTGTTGACTCCTGTAGCAAGAAAAAAAGGGAAAATCGCCCATGTCGACTGTACAGTTTTATTGTAATGAAAACTCCTAACTGTCAAGTTTAGATACGCAATTACAAACAAATATAATCAACAATTCCCGAACGTGTCGCTTGTTTTCATTTTGCGAGTTGTCTCCGCTGGTTAAATAAAGTGAACGATAAACTTTAAGTGTCTCAACCCCCCCTCTTCCCACGCTTATCGTGTCTCTTGTATTATTTGAAATTGGTATTCGTTTAGGCTTCGGCGGCTTAAACCCGCATCGTGGACATCCGTGACTTTCCAACAGAATTTTCTTTAAGCAGAATTTCTTAAAATATTTTTTTATAATTTTAGCAGAATGTAATTTTAACACAAATGTAGTGTCAACAGTCTCTACAAAATATCATTTTATATAGCAATTATGTAAGGATTTGTGTTTGGTCTAAAACCCATTGAAAAACTAATTGTTTGCAAACCAAAATGGTTTTTTATCATTTCGAGCATCAGTCGAGTTCCTGTTTATTGTTTTTCTCAATTTTCGCCGGTTCTTTTTTTAAGATCCAGCATGTACAATACACCAGAATAAGTCTCACAAGCGCATGTATTTGTATACTTAAAAAAATTGACATTTTCCTTTTATATATTTCTATAAAATCATAAAACAGTTATAGCACTGTGGCGTAATATGCATGACGTACTACATAAAATAAATTATATCAACTTTATCTTTAAATTGTTTTTTTTTGGGGGGGGGGAATTAATGAGACGCGTGGATTGGATACAGTGCGGTCCTTTAGAGCGGATAAAAAAAAAAAAAAAATTATGAAAAATGATATTATGATTATACTTAAATAACAAAAAGGAGCGAACTCTCAGTCTGTATGACAATATATATATAATAATTGGACGTTCCCGGAACCGAGTGCGAGTGGCGGAGCGGCAGAGGCGTTAAGGGTTCGAAATCAACAGGTGCATTATGGGACAATTTACCCTATGTGCACTTAATGTTGTGACGTCACAGTGATTTCTGTTTGTTCAAGGGGAACAACCCCATCTGCCCTCCCCCGTCTACTCAACATAACCATAACATCTATTCCCGTGTCCTGCACGTTACACATTTGTTATTTATATTATTTACCGTAGTCGGATTTTGTACTTTCCCCGGCCACCGACCCTTTGTCAAATATAACAGTAATAGGCACTTGGGGTGTTAAAAATAGCAACTTTATATGCATATATGATTTTCAATGGCATAAAATGGCTGGCCACGTGCAAGCAATCTCAAGGGCGACCCGACGCGTGTCTATAACAATGTTCTTGTTGTCGCCGTGCTGCGCGTAAGCGATACTATTACGGATATTATAATAATTTAATATCTAAATAGTGTTTTTTTTTTTTTTTCGACGGTGTGGTACGCGTTCGGCACAAGCGCCCGGCGTCCCGCACCGAGTGTGTACACACAATTAAATAATCGTCGAATCGATATGCTGCAAACCAAAAACGCCTCGTGTAGCTCGCGGTAAATCTAAAAAAAAAAAAAACGTTATATATATATATATACATACATACAGACCTGCAACCTATTGTGCGTACACTTGCCGCATAATTTAAGTCGCTTTGAGTTAGCACACATCGACACACACACACATACAAACGACAATGACGCGTACTTGAAAATATTTAAATGGGTAGATTATGTGTGGTGGCCGGAATCGATAAAAGAGGGAGCGCACACGCTCGGCACGCGGAGAAAGAGAATGACGCGCGCCCCCGGTTTTATCCCGGCACTACACTACGCATCAAAAGGTTACCATGGATACCCGTTAATACGACCCTTCCCCCACTACCTATGGTTCTCCCCGTCTCCCTCGCCGCCACAAGCCTTCCCCTTAAACATCTACCGTCTCCTTTGCCGTCCCCCTTCTCCCGTACGCCTGCCTCTTTCTCCTCTGTCTGTCCGTACACGTCTGTCGCGCGCTCGGGTGGGCTGTTCCCGAAAACCCGCACCTTGCTGCTGCTGCTGCACACACCTTGACAACTATCGGCCGGCGTACAATTTCCTCTCCGCCAATTTGGGTTTCATCCCGGTAAATCTGTCTACCCTCGGTCGGCATCGCCCTATATCCCTATTTACCTATTCGGGTTTTTTTTATTTACATCTACTACTATTTTAACGGTTGTTGTGCGTACGCATCATACACCCGTTTGGCGCAAACCCAGATCGGCGCTAGTCACAGTGGAAGCCGCCTATATTACATATTAATAAATTATTTGAAAACGTCGACCTACCGATTTTCTCGGGAGTTAATTAAAATGTTTTATACGGTTTATTTTTTATAATAAATTAATATAATATAGTTAAAAACATTCTATTAAAACTAAAAAACTATTATTATTTTACTAAAAACATTTTTCTGATCAGAGAGTTACATGTGTAACTATAAGATACATGTGTATCTAAAATAATAATATAAATAAACATTATGTTGACAATTTAAGCACAAAATTTGATATCAATATAATCAGTTAATAAGAGTAAATTGTTGAACAAAATTCTGAGATAAAATGTCCAGTATTTAGATCGCTTGGCGTCAGAAAGAGTATAAAAAGAAAATTGTATTATTATTATTATCCTAATTCTCTCTTATTATTTCATCGTTTTGTTTTGTTTCCATTATTCGACGGGGGTTGTATAAATAAAAACATAATCTGTTGAAACGAAAGTTGTTTTCAAGAGACAAAAGCTATGAAATTGCACCTGTTTTTCTAGAAAATGAGCGGATAAAATATAATGGCCGACTTCGACGGAGAGAACGCGTGATACATGTATTTTGTTGTGTTTTTTATTGGCTCATGAATTTAAACGAGACTTATCTCGTACAGTGTATGTATTCGACGTCGAAGTCAAAAAGTTATTCGGATGCTGTTGGGACTGCGATGGTGGATGTTTTTTTTTTCTGTTTGTTTTTCATTTTGATCAACGTTTGCGCACATGAGCGTCAATAAGAGCCTCAAAAGGAATGACAATTCGTATAATAATATACTCACGACAAAGACCGAAAATTATGCATGGCGGCGGCAGAAGGTTAAGTTCCCACGTTTGTGGATACTGAAATTTTGTTTGTTAACAACGTGAAACGGCAACCGATATCTGAATAATTTTCTACAGTTGGAATGAATAAACGAAAATAAATAATAACTGTAAGGTTGCCCCTGTAAATCCGTATTTAAACTCAATAAACATTGCCGTATCACGTTTTATGTACTTTGTCTTGCAGCGCGGTATTGACGATGATCCAAACTGCAGTAAAATGACCATTTCAACGTATACAACCAATCTTGTTATGTCTCTTTTATGTGGTAAAATTAATGTGCAACTACTTTATTGTTTAGTTAATAATAATGCTATTTTGTGTTAAAGAAATAATTATTGATATTATGCAACATTTTTAAATATGTTCTTATTTAGTGAGCGCAAAATTACAGTACTATCAAACACTTAGTTGTATAGTATAGTTAATAAAGAAATTACTAAATAAGTAGCGCTTCCCCCACAATGAATAGATTGATTTTATCAATTATTTTACTTAATAAAGTCTCTGTTCAAAAATTTTATTAACTTGATTTTTAAAATATTTAGTTTAAAAGTTTCATTAAATACATTAATGATTTATCCTTTGAAAATAAATGACCATTATAATAGTTTTTTGGGTGCAGTATTTGATTTAGGTTCTGGAAGTCCGACTTGAGGTATATTAAGTGAGACACCTTGTATATATGTTTTGGTAGACACTTGAGAATTGGAACGTTGTGGTATTATTTATTATGTTTTTTTTTTTTAAAGTTTGGAAACAAATTATTGGATGGAATATTAAGTTTTATATTATTTGGGCTCTCAATCCAATAAGAGTTTCTTAAACTTTTATTGACCTGCTTTTTGGAAACTATTATAATTTAAACTTTTGGAAAAAGATCCAAAAATGTTGCAGAGTCCTAAACTTGAAAACATTTAAATAATAATTTTATCATAATAATAATAATCGTTTTTGCTGTATGCGAAAGTTTTTAATCATATTTGCGACTACTATGTTTTTTTTTTTTTTTTAATTTCAAGGCAATTTCGAAAAACCCTATTGAGTTTGGTCTCACTAGATTGATACTGTCTATTATTTTGTGGCTATAAATATTATATTGACTGGATACAATTACTCTGGTACTAGGTTTTCTACAAACGACGGACTTTCGGATTGGCTTAAATAATTTTCATTACTCTCATTTTCGACGACGACAAAACTTATCTCAAGTCGTTGAAAACTTCTAACGGTTTTCGATACGATTGTATATTACAGTGTCCTCGCACAATTATATTATGTATTTGGCCGTAAAATATCACCCGACTATTTGATCTCGGAGTCATTTTTTCGGCGGACAAGCGTGTAGGACACTCTTGAAAAATATGGGCTTTCCTTTTTGTAAAGTTTATATTTACTATCATTATATCATTGTCAACGGACGACGTCATCGTTTGGTGTTTACATTTCGACCTTGCATTATGCTATCTCATATCGAAAAAAAATATCGGATATCCCAGAGAAATAATAATAAATATTATTTTTTTTTATTTCAAAAGGTTTTTCACTGTACTATTTTGTTTCATTTTCTGAAAGTTCTACAAAAACATCTCAATAATACCATCTACGCACTATTGTAACAATAAACAGCCTCGTGGAAAATATTTAAATTTGAAAATTTGAGATAACACGATGACATTTTTTTATCTAGATAATATCACAATATTACTACACTAATTGGATTTCAACAATCACCCATTAAAATAATAATTGTTGTGACCAAAAATTGAAAATAATGTTTTGTCATCAAGTATAATAATAAGAATTTTGTTTGCAATACTTGTGGCTTGCATAGTAATTTCATAGAAAAAATTACTATTACCCATTGATACCTACATAGGGTTAAGTTCATTGAAGAACTTATAGAGTTGTGTGACTTAGGGTTAATGGTTGTCTGTTTGGTTTGGTTTAAAGTAATTTACACTACAAGTGAATTAATTTTGAACCGCCCCATCTTGCCTAAGTATCACTGTACATATTGTCCCAAGGCTTATTGTTCAAAGTATATTTAGTTATTTTTTAAAAATCCTACCTGACCGTACAAGATTGAACTTTCGGACGCCGCGACTAACTAACCGTTACAAATAAAATCCAATCTATTCATTTCAAGGCTTCGGGTATTACTTTTCCCTCAGACGTATCTAATGAAACAATATACATAAAGGCCTTCAACCTTATTCTATTGTCAAACAAAATTCTATAGCTCGATGTAAAACTTTTACAATCGCCTTTTCACAACCGTCCCGATTTCATCATAGCAGTCATTGTTTTCTCGGTTTTCCTAAAAATAGTCCTAATTGTAAATTATTACAATACGGTTTACCAGCAAAAATAAAAAAAAAGCCAGCACAATGGGGTCGAATATTGGAGTCAAAGAGGTCATTAGGTCTGTGGAAGTTATTAGAACTGAAAGCGATGAAATCACTTTTCTAGATTGGTATTATTGGTAATTACATTATTTGAGTGCTCATCTAAATAATATTTTATGGCACCTGTATAATGAATGTAAATATTTAAAATCCAGTGCGATGATTTTGCTAGTAGCATATAACTAAGTTTTCTAAAAATTGTACAATAAACTTCATGATAGTTATGTGTAATAGTTTTTTTTTTTTAGCGATGAGTTGCATGATAATACACAATACTATAAACAATAATATTTACTTACTTGCAAACCTCTGGTAGAGAAGTTTTAACAAGTACACTATATTATAACATTTGTGTTTTGGAAATAACGCATTACTCGATTATTGTTGATGATTTTGTTTCGTTTTCTAGTTAGACGGCAGAATGCTGGCTGGCGACTTACAACGAGCATGCGGAGGAGTGGGTAGAAACTTAGCAGACGCCTTGGGCTTATTTGGACACGACATCTGTTTTTTGTCTGTCGTCGGTACCGACTTCAACGGCGAATTGATACTTTCTTCATTGGGTCACGTGGTTAGTACAGCAACACAACAGAAACTTTTTCTAATCATTGCGGTACTGTGTAAATTTAAATACCATTATTCCCTCGAGGGAACACTAGCGTACCATCGATACGACGCAGTGTAGTTAAATTGAATTAAACAATTACTTAATTATATAGTTTATGTAGTAAAAAATCAGTTGTATAGTGATAGGTACCCTCAAGGGTCATATTTGTACCAAAATTCCATTATTATTATTATTACTAATATGATAATCATGATTTTTCACGATGAAACATAAGCGCTCGGTTTACAATAAATGTATAAATCATTTTAATAATCGAAAATATATAAAGATTATATTATACATTGGGTCTTTTTTATAAATAAGGTTTAGGCGATTTTCAAAGGTTCATCAGCCGACGGAAAATCATTTTTACAAAGAGTATTATACTAATTTCTTTTTCATAATAATATACAACAATGTATTATATGTAATATTTTTATTGAAACTAAAAAAAATCATAAATCAAGTTAAGTGTATTACATATTCATATGAAATATTGATGGTTATAATATCTCAAACAAGGGCGGCAAGGGAATGGGAAAGGGAGGGGAGGTGGGGGTGAAATACAAAAAACTTATTACGTTAATAATATGTCCCTGGATAAAATTTGCATTAAATTAAAATTTTATAAATACATGTTAAAAAACCTCCAACAATTAGAGTAAGATGCAATCGCTCTTTCCTATAATATACAGCCTTGATATCAAACTAGCATGTAACAGAAGTAGAAGTGAATAAGTTAGTAATGCATTGGGTACCGAAAACCTATGAAACTGGTATGAAAAGGTGTGAAACTGAGATTCTTTTTTTGCTGTTACTTTGTTACCAGCGAATTACTTACTTTGCGAAGTACCGGATTAGGCAATGCTTGAAAACCGCTCGGTGCGTTTCACTTGTAAGCCGATAATGTGGAATTCATTTTTTCCATTAACCACTCACGTGCGACGTTGACTGTGTAATTGTATTTTATTTATTTCAGAAAACCGACAAGATGTTATTGACAGACAAACCGACATCGTGGTGCATGGTGCTCCACAGCGAAGAGGGCGATTGCGTGTCTTGCATAGGAGACATGAGTTGTCATCAACAGATAACCGTCGACATGGTAATTGTTTTGGACTTATGTGTTATGCATTAGATATGGAAAAAATATATATATATATATATATATATATATATAATATAAATATATGTATATTATTACTGTTCGTTGCACTGCAAGTTGTCGGACGGGATAAAATAAGAATAATACAAGTTGAACGGAAGAGAAATGTTTTAAAATAGCTCCGTCCAAATCTATCGCTCTATTAACATGACGTGGGCAGCTACGCATAAGTCATCGGCACGTCTATTAGAATTTTGAAAACACAATTATAGAATTTGCGGTCAACGACGATATTTTAAACTACAATTATAATTATACCAAACGTAAAAAAATCATTATTATTTCATAAACTTTTGACCTTCGCCGTGTACTGGACGGTGTTAAAACTATAATAATAATATATCGGTTTGTTCGACGAGTTTGTAATACTATTGTCGTATAGGTAATCCAATTGGTCGAACAATTCTAAGGTTTCTTTTTATCCTTTTCTGACGCACTTGATTGAATTTATTACTATTTTTCGATTGACGGAGAACGCATTCGAGATTTTGAGTTGTTCACGTTTAAATTTATTGTTTCCGTGTCTTTCATTGATTCGGAACACCGGTTTGAAAATTGTTAAAAATGCTAATCGATAGACAAATAAAAATATATTCTTGTAATAATTGACAAATACAATTCTACTGGATTTACTATTGCTGATATTATTTTCTTATTGTAAAGTAGCAATAAGATATCACATAAAAGTATCACATGATTTTTAAACACAATTTCAAACACACTGTTAGGATTTTGTTATTGATAACTTGTTATCTCAAAATATTTAAACTAAAGATTATTAGCTTAACAAATCTGTGTTGATTGTCAATAATCTATTTCAAAAAATTATTCAGGGTGTTCGGATTCTAAAAATAGTTCAAACATTCAAAAATCTTGATTTTGCCCAACTATTAATACGTACATTTTAAATTAAACAAAATTAATGATTTTCCAAAATCCACTTGGACTTAGGTCATTACAAACTTAAGACTACAATTATGTATTTGGTTTTATTGAAAAAAAATCATAAGTTTCCATTTCATTCAGATTCGAATCGGGCTGATAAAAATTCTATTATACCAATATTTTTTTGTTGTTTTTTGTTTCGTGGATACAGTTAAGGTTTGTTGTGCACAGTGTAATTAATTTCCGGTTATTTAACGTTGTGTAGAAACACCGTTTAGACGTCTGACGTCTATGCAATGAAACCTCGACATTTTACATTGCGTTTGTTCGAACAACGTTCCATTGTGTGTGTACGGTGAAAACTACCAGTGGGGCTGGTGCATTACAGCGGTCTGACCGATCAACCCTGTCAGTTATAACTCCTACTGCTTTGCCTATAAAAAATAAAATCAATAGGTCTTACCGTGTGCGAGTGTGACGTGGAGTTTATTCAGGTCCACCTCGGTCTCAGACACCGGTCTCGGTCGAGATGTCTGATCTAAAATCGTAAGACTCGGTGGCCTCCATCGAAAAATGGTAATTTCACAAGAGCATTTACACAAGAGTACTTAAAACCCCAATTCAAAGCTGGGCATTGACAAGTTAAAAAGTTTAAAGCTAATAGTAATTATTACTTGGTCCGTTAACTTTTGAAAATCTTTTTCTTTCCACTTAATCAGGATTGGGATCAAGATTGATAGTATAAGATCCTACATGGGAAATCGTTTAAATAGTATTTTTCACCGTTCTAAACCATTTTTACTGGTTACTATTGAATTAATAAACTATGACTGTGGTGTTGTTCGGGCTTTTTGTAGATAAAGAAAAACGTCGACTCGCTGTACCAAAGTCCTCTGGTTGTCTTAGACGGTAACGTCGGCGAGGACACGATGAGGTTCGTAATTGAATTTTGCAACGAGGAAAACATACCGGGTAAGGGTCGGCGACCGGAAATAGTAAAGCTTTTTTTTCTGGCAATTTTCTATAATATTATGGTGATTTGTTTTATGTGTACAGTGTACTTTGAACCCACTGACATAGCGGTAGCCGCCAAGCCGTTCAATTCAGACGCGTGGAAAGGCCTGTCTTTTATTTCGCCCAATATCAAAGAGCTGCAATGCATTTCGGATGTCTTAAAAGGTAAGTGCCACCGATTTTAGCCAAACTTTTTAACGACCAAAGCCGAATACAATTCAAATAAATTACTGTCAGACTTTATGGGCCTCCCCCTTTTGATAGCGCCTCTTTATAGGAAATCATAAATATACTGTAAAAAATAAATTAGTATACTAACTGCGCGTTGGATTTTACTTAATATACTATTTATCGATTATGATGTTATATACCTAATAGACTTGACACTATGCGATTATATCTGATATTATGATTATTAAACGTGACAAAAGTGACTTGGGCCACTGTTAACGCTATTTCGGTGCTACACTATTTTGTAGTACTAGTGTAAATGAATTGGGTTTATTTTATTAAACCTGGAAACTGTCAATATTAATTTTGAAATTATTCGCATAAGTTTTAATAGAATAGAAGTTTGTTTGATCCGATTTAAATATAAGTTTGTTGGATAAACTGTGATATTTTTTGTTAGTGCGTTATAGTAAAAGTGAAGTGGATTTTAACTGATCAAGTGGCATCTGTATGGTTATTTAATAAGCAGCAAAATAGTTCAGGGAGTTTACTCGCGTACGGAGTTGGGTCAATAAACCGAGAAACACAAAAACGCTAGCAAACCTTTTTTTTACACTATAAATTATTTAAAAACTCCAAACTCTAAATCTAAATCGGAAATTAGACCCGTTTCAGCTAAATGTAAAATGTTGGCAATATCTTACACAAATTCTTTTAAGACAAATTTTGGTTAAGTCAATTTGTATTATTTATTTATAGTTAAACGTTTAAGTACTTATTTGTAGGTATTACTTTTTTTTTAATAAAAAAATTAGCTTTACCGAAATGCTGTTTTTTTAGTTTTTTTTCTTTTCTATAAAAATAAAAAAAAAATACAGCGATCTACGGGTTGGACATTCTTTTTTCTTCCAACTAATTTAGCTTTTGAAAATTGAAATGCTGTTAAAAAATTACTAAAAAATCATATTTTAACAGTAACAGTCTCCAAGTACAAGCATAACATACTTTTTTTCTTGATATTTCTTTAGCACTAATGTATAGTTTTTAAGTTAGCTTAATGAACAGAACACCTTAAAGATTGACCTGAGAGTGGTACCAAAATAGTAAATAAGAGGCAAATAGAGGTGTAAAAGCTACTATCACAAATATGAAATAAGAAACGACTTCAAAAAAGTCCTTTGGTGTAAATGTTTGCTACATGTTTACTATACTTATTTTTAATTTAATGTACTTTGTTTTGTTTTGCTTGCTTTTTTTTAACCAAGCTACTTCATTCTTTTTGAATTACAAACACTACAAAAATACAGCTGTGCATACACAGTAGAACAGATAAAATAAGTCGGTAGACGACTAAGAACAAAAAACAACATTCAGTTTAGAAAAAACATAAAACTTGTATTTTATAGGCAAATCTGATCTCGTAAATAACGTTTTAATATGATTCAATAAAGACACTATAATATATATCAAAACAATAAAACTATTTTATAGTAATATTAACACTGTACATAATAGTATAATAATTTGTTTACTTAACCTAACCTACTAATACATTTGTTTGGCATTGAAGTCTTAATTCGTCAACTTTATTAAAACAGAGTGTATTTATAAATTAAGACAAAACATTGCACGCTTTTTACCTATTCATTGGAACTATATTTGAAATAAGTAATATTTCCGTTTTCTTTTAATGGGATTAAAAACCGTCTAAGTATCATCAAACATATCGATTTAAAATGTGCATTATACATATGTTAAATAATCTGAAATCAAAATAATTTACATTCTTATAAATTCTGATAAAAGGCAAAACAAAATTATACCTTTTTAAACCCCATTTAAAACAGATTAACATATAAAAAGTCTATTAGAAGTAATTTTTGTATTACATTTGTTTTATGAATTGACTAATTTATTTAAATAGGTAAGAAAAAAATGTATATGTTAATTTTTTTAAACTAATTCATGATTATAGTAAAAGTTGAGTGTCTCTCAGTCAATTCTGGTTACTTTATTGGTAAATATGTCCAGAATGTCTTTGTAAGTAACTGATAAGTTTGCACAAAAAAAAAGTATCACCAGAAAGCTTTTTAGGTTTTTACATTCTAACGAATATTGATGTTAGAATATTTTGTTTATTTTAATCATATGTTTTACACTCGACATGGATAGTTGATCTTATGATGGAGTTCCGATAGGAAAAGGAGAAAGAAGAAATGTGATGACAGTTCTGAGATGGGTTTCGTCTGGATGTAAATCATTCGGCTTGAACGATTTAGATAAGAGCCTATTGTCCTACCACTAAGGCGATGGAACAATGTTTTTGTGACACTACAGTGATTTGATATTTCTGCATAACCTACCGTTGTTTAGAGTTAAAGAGAGATAGAGAAAGAGAGAAAGGGAAATCACAGATGTGACTGGTATTATTCGTTTCAATGCGTTTTTAAGCGTGACTCGGGTCGATTTAATTAGGAGATGTGTATCTATGTTTTATTTAATAATTTGTTCATTTTATTGAACGCCGATTCCCTTAAAATATGCCAAGGTATACTGCAAAGAAGTGATAGAATTCTGTGTGTATCTACAACTTAATACAATGTTTGTAGCTGGAAAATCGATATTAGGTACTAATCAGTAGCTAACTTAGGTAGAATCAGTTTTATTTTGTTCTGATAAATTAATTCGTCGACGAAACTGTCTTAAACATTTTATCCCTTTTCAAAGAAAGGCTTGAGTAAGTTCGGTCGGAGATGATAATATATTTGCAGGAGGTTTTTCAACGTTTCAGTCAACCTGGTCGAAACGTCACGATATGTAATTATGAAAACGGAGTTGTGTATGAAATTGGATGCTTAGTGCCCTCCTCGTGTGCTTTGAAGATAACGACTTGCGGCTTTTGAAAAATGACATGTCTAATGCACTAGCCAAATGTAGTCTCGGTTTAGAGAAGCGAGTATAAGTATAGGTACATAGGCTCTTGTCTTGTCTTGTGAAATTATATAAAAGATTTCATTTTTGGCAATTTTTTTCTCTTATCTCCTTAGCGATCTCCATTATCATTTGATATTTATTATCAGCTGATTGTACCAAATCATGTCTTTTATAGTTTTCCAATGTAACGATTTCGAAACATGTTTTATGCCTTATTCAGAAACTGAGCTAAGTGTTGAGCAACACAAATAAAAGAGCAGTGTTGTTAATGAAAGTAGGAGTGAAGTGAGGTTATGGACTGAAGACAGAGCAGACTTGGCCACAATGAAGATATCACTACTTTGATGGACTGACTTTTTCGGGAGAGGATCAGGAACTTGGCCATTTTTTTACGGTCAGGTTTTTGTTGGGTATTATTATTACTATTATTTATTATAACTCCTAGAAGGAGTTTTTCTATTTCTTGTTTTTCTTTATTTCGCTTTTTTATGTGTAGCACAGTACTAAAGTCTTAAAATAAATACTAAAAGAATATTTGATGTGACCCAATTACCATAAAAAGTTCTTCAGAAATCGTAAACAATGTTTTGAACAGCTATGGTCTATGTATCATAAAACAAAAAAAAACGAACAAAAAACTACTGAATATATTACTTTAAAACGAATATACTTTTTTAACGAAACGATAAGTTGATATGAAAAAAAAAAACAAAACGTGTTTTATGATTCACACCTAGAATATAAAAAAAACCAGTACAGTGGTGATGGTGCATTGTGGGAAGTTCACAAGTCTTCAAGAATTACTATAACTAAAAGTGATTAAATCACTTTCAAATAATTGTTTCGATGCGAATTTGTGTACACTGCATCTTACTTAAGCACTTTAAAGGACAGGTTTTTGTTTTAAAACTTAAATGTTTATTTGAATGATAAGAATATATATTTGTATAAATTAAGATTTTTAATAATTTGTTTTAAATTTTTATATCAGTTCTCAATGTAGCAAAGTGCGCTTATCACAGAATCATGATCACTAAAAGAGCTGTTATAATTTTTGAACATATTGTTGGCCTTCTACTAATTTTTTAAATATATATATGTTTATTTTCATTATTAGAGAGCGGCTTAGGTTTTTTCTCTCAAAATGAGCAAGTAGTGTTCTTCAAACATAAAATTAGTCTTCTTATCGATCATCATTTGTTTACTACTTTAAAAAGTATTATTTCAATATTTTTTATATTTCACATACCAATCACCTTTTACATTTTTGGTGGTTTATATTTTGAGATTTATATTTTCTTATAAAAACTGTTTTTAGTGTTGGAAGTTTGTTAATAGATAAATATTAAATTGTACCTAATATCACTTATTCAAGTCATTACTATTCATTATACTTTTTTCCGTCCTAATTAAAGTGCATAACATATTTTAATTTTTAAGAAAATACAATTTTACGCCACATTTTTTTATGTTAACCAATTTCGAATTTACACTTATATAATTAAGATTTATAAAGAAATCCCGTGTGCACGGTGTATATTTATTAACATTGAGAGAAATAATTTCACCTTTCACCTTTTCTTTGAAACTAGTTCTATAGGTGTAAGATAAACTAATGTATCCCATTTTGTGAATTGAACTTATTTCCTAATTATTAGAAACATGTCACTTCGTCCCAACGGCTGAATGTGTGTCAATATTGTTTATGGTAGCCAGAAAAAGAACGAAAATCGACATTGATCAAACCGGAAAAGTGGAGTTATCCATTAAGAACCCTCTTCACACCCTTTCCTTTGCTTGCACATTTTTGACAGTTAGCAAATTGTGTAAGCGCGTGGCTTTTATCTTTGACGTCAAATCTGATGACTAAACTAGATCATTTTTTTTTTAAACCGAAGCAAAAGTATTTTGTTTTTACTACAAGCTTGATATTTTTGACAAAAAGTATAAAAGGATAGATTAGGTTAGGGAAATGAAATGAAATTTAAATGTTTAATAAAATATAGTGGTGTTAGGTAAAAAAATAATGTATAGCTAAACGTTTTTAAAAATACAACAGTATGAAAAATAATTTCTCGGAGAAAAGAAGTGTGAAAAATTCAAAACTCATGCTATCGATTTTCTTGTTTTTTGTTCCATAAAACCGGCATAAAACGTAGTTTAAAATAATATTACACCTTTTTTAATGTAATTATTACACTCAACATTGTAGCCATTGACCTAGTAGTCGAGGCATAACTATAAAAAAGAAAACATATAGGGTCAAAAGGTTACACAGTAAAAAAAAGGTTAAACAAAATAAGTTAGGATAGGTAAATAATATAAAAACAAATCATATTACAATTGTTAATTGTATTTTATCAATCAAGTTTATAGACCCTTGATACTAAGTCTTGATTCACAATTAAAAAAGTCTAAAATACAATTTCAATTGTAATTTTACCAACAAAATGTATTTTTCCGGGCATTAATATGATCTTTTTTTACAGATATGAATACATTGGATGTAGTGTGAAATTGAGTAAACTTTTGCTGAAGTTTTAAAAATAATTCACCGAAAAGCTTGGTTTTTTTAAGTTTCTTAAATCTGCTAACAAGAGAATTATTTTTTTTAATCTTAATATGTTACTTAACAGTTAACCATTTTTGCCTTTTTGTTTATATTTTAATGGCCGAAAAAAAAGTGAAGATTTGCCATGGTTTTTTTGCAAAATAATAGAAAAACCAAAATGTCAGTAGTATTATACCTACTCCAATTAAAAAAAAACACACCATTGTAAAATACCTTCTCAGCTCCGCATCGGAAGTAAAGTGTTATTGAGTTGAAATCGTTTTATTTATACTTGTAAACATATACTAATGAGGTCCTGAAAAGGGGATTTTTTTTTGTTGAACATTTTTAATAGTGCTCTTAGCTCATTGTCTCGTGTGCGTTCGCTGATAATCTATTGTTTGGTTTTTGTAACTATAATTTGGTGATCAGAGTTTAGATCTACATATTATAATGCATTTTTTTTCTAATCGCCCATTGATCGGTAAATTACTAAAATACATTATAACAGTGTATTATGTAGCCAGAAGTAGGCGTTGATACAAGATACACAGTTCTATTGGCTCCATTTGATGTATTTATAAATTACATTTTCAGATATTACAATTTGTATTAATAGTTTTGGTATTCGGTCAGTGTAATTTATTTAAACTCATAGATACTTGGATACTTTATGCCCATCTCGGACTGTAGTCTTAACACGTTCATTGTTTTGTAATGCGACTCATCTTGTTGAAATATTAAAAATTTCCAATTGGCCGATTTTGAACCCACTCGTAGGCGTCCACGTTAAGTAATTTATTTGTCACAACTCGTCTGACCAATAACTGTGATGTTAGATATTCATAGAGAGCCACTCGAAAGTTTGGAACGGCCGCCGTTTGTGAATTATTATTTGGTGGCACAGCAAACATCGCCTATCACTTTTATCGTATAAACTAACATTAATTATAGAAGTCACGACGGTGGCTTAATACTCGAACATAAATATTAAGGGCCTCTGTGTGTATCAAAAGCTCTCATCTCCTAACTTGCTCGGCCAGAATCGTAGCACTCGCAGCCTGTATTTCGACCCCGGGACGAATGATGAGTGTTGTTGAGTTTGGCAATGCCGGTGTTTCCTGACCGCCGACGACAAATCGTTTCACAGAGGAAGTCTGTGTAAAATGATCAACGACTCGACGGCGTCGGTGCGTAAAGGCGTTTATTCGTCAAAAGCAACCGAGCGAACCGCAGAAATGAGAAGAGGTACCCCATTTGGTTCAGCCGGAACAGACCACGCACGTTCGTTACCAGCATTAACCATAACGACTATACAATAATAATAATCATAATAACTTAGTAGGGGAATAAAAGTTGTCCGGGAAGAAAAACCACATATATATCTTACCATGCGTGTAAAAAAAAAATAGCCTCCTTTGAATACGTCCACAGTGTCGTCAAAGTTTGATATTAAAAACCAGCACAGCACGAATTTAGCACAATAAAAAACAGTACAGCGAAAAAGTTAGCTAATGAAGAATAATAAAGAAAAACGCAGAAAAGCTTGATTATTTCAACTGTCTATTACCCGGAAGATTTTATATTTTTTAATCTTAATATTGAGCATTTCAGATTTTTTTAATGTCTGAAAAAATTGAACTATAACGTGTTGATAAATGATACATTTATTTGTATTTAACTATCATTGACACAGAGTAACAATAACAATAATAAGTGGGAAAATAATATGCGTAGATACCTACGGATGGTTAGGTTAGGTTTGGTAATTTTGTAATTGTTATGCGCCAGTCAGTTAGCGCAGAAATGGTGCATTTTCCATTGTTTCGATCAGTTTGTAAAAAGAGCTAGAATGGCAGAGAGTGTGATAACGATAGGAAAACCGCAGTAATGGTTAGGAACGCAGTGCGGTTTTTTTTTTTGCGTCTTCTATTTTATTGCTCTTTTATATAGATTTTTTGTCTCCGGATTTGATAGATTAAGGAATAAATAAAAATAAAATAGCGCTGTATAATATAATAAAAAGCGATTGCGCTCTAAAAAGCCGCCGTTCGCTATCCATCGACACGCGACTATATTATATAATTGATTGGACTGGTCCCGTCGATCGTTTGTTATTGTGGATTTAGCCGCAGAAAATGGCTGTTGTCACCATTTGAAACGACAATATTTGCAAAAAGATTTACATAGGCATCGACGTGTACAGGGAGATTCATTAAAAATTCAAGACATTCGTTTCCTCTAAAACTGATTACAATTTTGTATTTTTTCAAATTAAACTTTTAAATGAAAAATAATTTTCTGAAATTTTGACTGGCGATAACCAGTTTTGGAAGTTGATTAACTTGATCCACCTCCCGTCCTAAATTTTAAACTTTAATTACTTTAAAAGTAATAATATTATCCAAAACTGGTTAACTGCCAGTCGACATGTTCAGCAAGTTAAATTAAGTTCAGAATACTTAATTATAAGAAAAGTTAATTATTGATATATGTACGTTACTGTTTACGTTTTAAATGTCAATAGAGCTCAGGAAAATAGTAAAAAAAAAGTAAATATTTAGTCGTTTTATAAAATGTTTTCAAGAAGAAAAATTACAAAACTGCAATTACCTTAGGAGAAAATGAACGTCTTACCCTTCATGAAACACACTGTACATTATGTGTATTCCATTCACTGAAAAAGGGGAAAGGTTGTGCGTTTGATTGCTTTACCGTGTCAGGCGGCTGGTCGATTTGTCGAATTCTCCTCTATTCCGACCGTGCCGACTTGGAGCGATGTACGACGGTAGATCACACACAACCCGGCATTTCTGTCTTCTCCTAAATCCCCTCCCTGACACAGTCCACGTTAAATGTTTTTACAAACGTATCTGGCACGATTTTTCTTCATCCCGGATCCCGGTGCACATGCCCTTTGGATTTGCTTGCGCACAAAATAGCAGCAGCGTCATTATCTATGATTAATGTACTAAAGACTTCTTGCTCGGAAACGGGACAAGAGCATGTCGAGAAGCCACGCGGAATAGATGCTACATATCTTTATATTTATATATATATATATATATATACATATATATATATATATAGGGTATATATCCTTCCGTTAGATATAGTGATAATTATTCCGCTCGAGTTAAGTTCACTTTTTTCGGATAGCTACAATATGATGCAAGATGGAAAAATAGACTAAATTGTGTGTATAATGTTAAAAATGTTAAGAATTTATTGATACATAAATAAAAAAAAATTTAATTAGTTGCCTGCCTCATAATGACCGTACATTGTAAGAAAAAAATATTATATTAATAATTACTTTAAGTATTTGAAGAATGAACTCGTTCAAGTGACAAAAGATAAAATTAGTTTCAGGGCCGTTGGCTTTAACTTGGTTATTATACTCTTCGAGTTCAATGTGTATTCTTTTCCCCAATGGTCAATCCATCAAACGGCTATTGCTAGAGCCGATAATTTATTCACATCGAACAGACCGACCGTCAGTGAACCCGAATATCATAAAAACCAAACAATACAATAGGTATGAGAAAAAAACTATGAACTTTATCTACTGATAGACAAGGTTTTTGTTTTAGGGTCAAGACTTACGTCTTTTCAAATGGTATTCAATGTTGTGAAGAATAGTTATATTTACAATTTTCATTTTATCCGTGGAAGAAATAGAGTAATTTTATAAAAAAAAGTTTCTAATTTCTATCCAAAATCCGTGTACTGTTTAAAAATTGAGAAACAGTTTTTACTTGTTTGTTGATTTATTGTTAGTCGTTCGTTGAACTTTCATAGTTTTAATTTATATTATAATAAACATAACAATTGACTGAAAACGTTCTTGGGTACTTTTAGGATTTAATAATAATACCAAAGTGAAAACTTTTGACATAAAACCTTTATAAAAATGCAAGTTATACTCCAACTTGAAATTATATTTAAAAAACTATTATTTTAAGGATAATTTGATTGGGGTAACTTTTGATATTTAAATAGAAGCTTCGTATATTTATTGATCATAATAATATATGCAATCATTCTTTGTTGCACCATCGTGTGTGCTCAATTCGTTCGTGAACGCAATAACTATTGTAGAGCAATATTGTTTTAAGTTTAACCATACACGGTTCAATGAACGCAAAAACGAATTTCGGCACGACGATAATTTTAACCCTGTTCACGACCCGATCAGCTTAGGGCGGAATGAATTTAATATGACGGAAAACCCGGCGTAATTTACATCTTTGGCCGTTCAATACTCTCACGGGTGTCCCAAAGTGGAAAATGTAAATTCCTTTAATAGTGTTTTTTTCCCCTTTCAATCCATTTTTAATATCGTGTGCGCCACTTCTCCGAATGTACCAATTCAAAAACACTTGTGTGACACGACTCGAAGAATTTGTAATATTATTTTTGTCATCGCATGTGTATATGTATATATTATGTAAAAAAAGCGTTTTATTTTTTTATTTGTTTCCCTTTGCAGGCCAAGAGCGTGTCAGTTACCCTGTCAGAGTTAGCGTGAACGGCGGCGGCGGCGACGGCGAATTCGATGTGGGCCGAGACATAATGAATAGTTCAAAAGATGTCGTTTGCAAGCTAATATCTCACATTCCTGTTATCATGGTGACACTCGGCGACAAGGGGCTGCTGGTATGTGCGAACTTTAATCATTTCCTTTTTCGCGATGCTCCCGTTCCGGCGCACCGAAAAGTAATCTTCCAGCCACCTCCCTTCCCGCCAAAAAAAAAAAAAAAAGATTAGGCGAAATAATTGTCTGTGCGCCGTTGACTTTGTTTTTGTTCAATGTTCACAGATGGCGACCAAGCAGTCCGACGACACTGTTTCCATGGTGCACTTTCCACCGGCGAAACCAATGTCGCCCGTCAGCGTCTCCGGAGCAGGCGACTGGTAAGCACTGTGAATGTTCATCTGTTAAATTTTGGACGGAATCGTTTACCCGGCCAACACGTTCGAGAATTCATTTGAGCGTATTGCTAACATTATAATATTTATATTGGACGTGCAACTGTCACACGACCGTGTAAAAAATCTGTCTAATTTTCCCCATGCAACATTATAGTGTTTGGTATAGCGCCTTTGGCTCGCGATCATAATCGATTGATAGGCGATGAGAGAGTATACTTGTGAACATGGGAAAACTAACCAATGACTTAGATCATTTTCCATGAACCCGTGGAGTGTATAAAACGTTCGAATGTAAGTTGCTCGGTCATCGCCCCCAAAGGTGTTGGACACAAAACGTTAGTATACATGGATGAAATGGCCAGTGACCTTATTTATAGTAAATGATATAAGGCTGATTAGTGGTTTAATAACGTAGATCAGGTCAATTAGGTATTGAGACACAGTTGACAATTGAGTGGACCGTGAGATGTGAACTTAAAGTAATTCGTCATCATTTATTTTTGAGGTGTTTGTATTTCTGTACCGATTGTTATTTTCACGTGCGATGAGTAATCTTTTTAATATTAAAGACGTGGCCAAGCCAAGCCAGGTGAGCTGTTAAAAACTTCATAGGTTAGTCATTTTTTTTATTTGTAAACAATTTGGCAACGTTTCAATAAAGACCGATGCTTCGCCCTTTGATTGACTGTCTAACAAAGTCGTCGATTAGGTAATCAATACAAATAGCCCAGTGAAGGAATTACTTAAGAGCTTACTGCATTCGCTTTTTTGAAAACTAATTTGTTAGGATACGATTTCGAATTACGTTTTGCGCCAGATGTGTGTGGCTAGAACGTACAAACTTAAGAACGTCAAGGTACTTAATGGTGATGATTACAACAAATAGTTATAGGTATGTATCCGAAGGGTATGTATCGTTTGAACTATTAAGTCTGTCTAACGAGTTTCAAACGGCCGGAAAGGAGACGAGATTAATTAGCCAATATTTCCTCGCGGCATTCCAATGAATATAGTAGTTTTCTTCTTTGTGGCTAGAGAGAAATGAACGTTTAGAAAGCCAAGAACAAGTACAATGGTTTTGGTTTGAACAAAATACGAATGGTGTGAACAGATTTTCTGAGCAAGTTGAGGTTTCCAAAATAGCTCTAAGGATTCCACCAGAACTCATTACTGAGAAACAGTTTAGTAGTTGTATTCAATTAGTCAATATATACCTAAACAAATAAACAATAGTTAAAGCCAATAGTTATGATAATAATTATCATTATAGATATATCATGATAAAATGGAATAATCATTATAGAAATAATGATACCGTGGACGAAAAGTATTCATATATGAATGTTTTGTATAGGTATTATCAAGTATAGTACATACTATACTTGATTTTATTATTTTTATCTACGGTGGTTTAAGTACCTATTTGAATTGATGCTAGATTATTAATTTTTTTCAATTTTTGGAAACTATATCATTCCCAGTCATTTGCGTAGCTTCTTTTTAACGGACAGACATGTGTGGCGTTAACAATAATATTTTTATTACAGCGCATATATACATTTGTAAACGCAAATTAGCAATCGAGTTTTGTGTTTTTTTATTACTGCAAGCGTGTGTTTTTTCACTAATGAAATGGTTTACATTGAGTTTACGATTCTGCTATCAGTTGGAGGTATAATAACATTATTATTTGACGATAGCTAGACCGTTCGGGTAAGACGTCATCTCTCGCTCGTCTAAATAATTATCCGAACAACGAGACTTTTATGTACATCTTCTCTGACTGCTCGAAACAAAAGGCAGAATCGATGGCAGTGCACCTTTCGCTTGCTTGTTTTCGTGCCAACGATAGACACGACGATATTTCCCAATAGCGCTCTTATACTGTTTCCATCCAAACCTGGCTTGTATTTTTCTCATTGTTTAACGTTCCGTAGAGATTAATGTTTTTCCAATACTAAATTTAAACGCTATTGTCGTCTCAGTCTGACTACAACATGCGTTTAAAAAAAATCCCGTCGGGTTACTTTGTAAATATCTCTTCAGAGACGTTGAATATTCGTCCAATATGCCATATGTGTATTTATTTTGTCTAAATACTCAAATAGTGTTCAGCAATTTTCGAACACGGATTAAAAATAGATTTGTGTTTAAATATGTAGGATGCCGAGCGATCTTACACGTGTAGGAAACACTGAACAGACGCGTCGATTGGCACGGCCAAAACTTAGCACTCACTGGATGATTTAGACTACTAATTTATTTTATTAAATATTTATTATTCACTTGTGTCGAATGTAATTTAGAACGTTTTAAAAATTCTCGCCAAATATCGTTACCACGTATAACATAATATGGTTGAATTGTTAAAATACATATTATTTCATTAGCGTCTCAGATTAATATAATGTTATTTTAGTCAGAGTTGGAGACACAAAAAAGACTATAAATAGTTACATTGTATTTCCGTTGATCGGTAAAAATGTATCTTAATAGAGTCCAGATTTTTATAGCTCTGTTCCATCCAACATTTGAAAATCAACGATAAATATCACTTGTACACAATTCAATTCTACAACGGATTTTGTTTATTTTTTATTTAGAAAACTATCCGTGTCGTGCCCTCTGCGCTACTATAGTCGTACTCTATTTTTTATTTTGGAATGTTTTACTTATCTGTTAAGTTTAATTTCATGACCAGTCGAGTGGGCTTCATGGGCTGGATGTATTTGTAACACTAAAATAAGATCAAGTAAAGGACAAAAAAAAAATGTGTATTTGTGTGTACATAACAGAAAACGCTAAGCAAATAAAAGAGGACGGTAAATAAAAGAAACGTACATTTCAAAATCAAAATTATATTTTGACTTTTACTCGAAACGTATTTTCTAGTAGTAAAAAAACACAAAACTATAATACATTTAAATTTAAAGTAGGTAAATACATGTTAAATTATTGAAAATTCGGTCTTGTTGCTTTATTCCCGGCGAGCATGATTTTAAAAGAAAGTTCATACCTACCTGAGGGGCAAGAGTATGAAAAAGAAAACATTTAGGCGATACTCGATGAAAAAATATCCATTGACAGATTTCAGTGTTGCCCATTCATTTACAAGGTAATTCAAATCTTACAAAACTGAAACCCTATTGAAAAACAAATCACATTAACAGCAGGTTACCGCCGGCAGGATTCAAATTATTTTTGTGAATTTTAATTTAAAAATAAATGTAAAGAACAGCGAAAGGACAATACAAACCAAACGGCTTGTTTATCGTCGTTAAAAATCTATTTTGTTGCGCTTCATTCGCGATACAACAATATCTTCCTGGTCGTACGGTAAGTACGTCGTTAGGTTTACAATCTATCAAGTAACCCTTTTCTTAGTACGGCGGTTTGCATAACAGCACGCTTTATAGCTGCTGTCACGTTGACACAAAAGGTCGGGTGGAAAAAAAACAGTCCTGAAATGATGACCTATTATTAGTCATAGTGCGCAGTGTCTTCTCCGAAAAGTGGCACTTTCGAGGCTTTAAAAGTAACGTCGGGCATAAAAAAATAAAAAGAAGGCGATTTATACTCTTTAAGAAGCTGAATATTCAAGCAATAAGTAAATCGGTGTGGTGATTTACATCATCTGACCTATTTTTCTCGTCGTCAATCACGTTTATATGTTTAAAACTTGACGTCATTGCTTATATCAAAACTAATCTACTGCTAAAAAATATATATCATAAGATTGTATACTTGAAATAATGTAATTAACACGACCGCTAATTATTGTTATTATTATCTATCGAACGACCACGTTTAAAATAATATGAAATTTTTTTTTTTTAATAATTGTTTTGTGTAATTATTATAGCTGTTATTAGCACACATATTAGTTCATTTTTTTTATGTTAAAAAAAAAAATACAAGCGAAGCAACACATAAAACCGCATGATGAAAATAATTTTATTGGCTGAAAAAAATTCCAAAACTTACAAATCCATCTTAATAATACGTTAAAATTTACATTGAACATTTTTAGTTGTTTCTTAATGTTGTAATAGCGTGATAGCAGTTATTATACATGTTAAGTAATTAAGTCTCGGGCAGTGCGGTACATTTTACGTTTCTTATTACCTACAGTTTGAATTCGTATCGTTTGCCTTGGTTGTTTTTCCAATGAATATTCAAAAAACAGCTATACTTGTATGTATAACGCAGAGAATTTATTTTACACTATGAACAAATATGTGTGTGCATATATTTTGAAAATGGCATACCTACTGTAGAGTATGCTGATCCCATTGAATAGAATCCGTTCAACTAGACTCTTTTATATTGGACCAGTGTACTGAAAATGTGTAGTGTATATAGACATATAAATATATGTATGATATTTTCTGTTTGTTATTATATCGACGTAAAATTTAATAAAAGCTGAAATAAAATTATATGTATAAAAAGGATATATATATATATATGTATATCATCCATATACATACCTATACCTATATATATATTTATTTATATTTATACATTTCTTTTATTGCATTTTTTATGTAATGAATTCTAAGAAGAAAAAAACCAAATTTTTTATAGACATTATAAGTCTATAAGCCAACATAAAACTGCTACCTACGTACAACGCAATTAATAAGCTCTCGGTTAGCTTGATGTAACAATACACTATTACTGAATACCTGTTAAAAAAATATTACAAATTTCACAATTTATAATAAGTTTTAAAACACAAAAAGTGTTTACGAAAAAATCGTTTCTTTGTGTTAAGTACAATTTCGGCGAAACATAATTCACTGTGAGTGTAAATTATTTGCGGAGGGTTTTTTTTTTGTTTGTTTCAGCACAAGAAAGGAAAACGTAATTAAATTATGTAGTGAAAAACGCCCACTAGAAATAACAGGTGAACACGTGAACTATTGTAATAAAACCTTAAATTACACGGGTTTTTAAGAAAAAAGCTTTTTGTTGTCTCAAACTAAACTTATCATACCAAAATGGCAAAATAGTTATGTATGCTTAATGCTTATAAGTCATATATTAATTAAAATCTAAGAAGATATCTTTGAAAAAACGCGCTATGCTGTAAGCCTTCTCAAAAATATACAAAATAATTGGTAGTTAAAGGGGAATGGCCACCGTAATGAAACTTGATGAAGTTAACTTATAAAGTAATTGAATGCGGATTTAAAACATTCTTAAAATACAAACCGAAAACAAACTATAGCAACAGTGAAATCGAAATATGCGGTTCAAGTCGCTATAAAATACATTTAAAAAGATTGCATCTACAAGATTGTACATACAGATTAGATGTACCTTCTGACTGGTTTTAGATTTCAAGTCCAAAACTTACCAAAAATATAGTAGCTAAGTAGATATAAATCATGATTTTGATTATAAATTAGTAGAATTATAACATCCAATAATAACAACCCATACAAATTTAAAAATATTTTGACAATTGTTGGGAGAAAAGTATTGCGTGTCGGTTATCAAAAGGTTTGTGTTCTAATTTATTCAGAATTTTAAAAATTTAGTTACATATAATTCACTGTTTTCTTTATTCACTGTTTAATTAATATTTTGATTAAAAACGTTTGAATACTAAACTATAGAATGATAGTTTGTACTCGATTGATTACAGCGTGCAGCAAAATATATTATTATATTAAAATATATTATTACCTTCTATTTGGAACAAAACCAAAGAACAAATTCATTTTTAAATCACTATCAAAGTTGTGATCAACTTGCAAAACAAATATTACAATTTTTTTAAATGTCTTGTAACTGGCCTAGGTTTAACTAGTGTTTAAATGAAAATAATAAATTTCAATCCACAATTAAGTATTTTTTTAAGGAAAATATTGATTTTTTTGTTCATTGAGGAATCGTATTGAGAATCGAGTGAATTTAACCGAGTATGACGTAAGGGTTGGCACAATTTCCTTTTTTTTTTTCTAGGAAAAGTATCCACGTTCCGGATTGCTTTTAAAAAGGGACGTTAACAACACACTGAACTGACGTATAAAAATGATTTCTAAAAAACGCAAACGTTAAAGGTTGCATAAACTATATTATATCTCGTATGTACGTCATCGATAACACGAAGCAGTTTTTCCTGCCCTACAGTAAAATATGATGCATCATTGATTATCCATTTAGATTGCATTCGCCGCAATAGCAACATTATTCATGCAGTTTGTGAGCAATTTATTTTTTTTTTTGCATATCGCCCGCAAGATGGCCGTTATTCGTTTTAGATGACAGGTAATTTTATTTTTAAAAGGTTTCCGAACGACGGGGCGTTCGCCTGTTCTGGCGCCAATAGACTAAACTCTATTTTTCAGTTCACTCGTCGATATCTTACTTTTTTGAATTCGATTGGGTATTATAAATATTGAAAAGATTCTGAAATCCGTAGCTAATATTTTTTAAATTATCATATTGTGGAAAACCAGCAAAGAAAAATACAAATTATTTTAAATTTACAATGTGCGTTGTCGCAATTTGGATGTATTATTTTTTTGTGCAACATACTATTGTATATATTTTTTTTTCATACGCCAAGTCGCTATTGTATTTGAGACTAACACTGATTTTTAATTTTCTTTTTTTGTCATTAGGTTTAAAAATTTAAACAAAAGACTCCAGTGCTCGGTGTTACAAGCGCGGGATAGGCGTACATATCACTCCGTTATTATTTGTACGGCGCCGATTTCTTTTACATCAGAACACTTTTATTACACTGAGTGCAATGCGTGTAAAATATTAAAGCAAAATAGTGGTGCAACTAGATCGAAATTACATATTTTGTTTTTTCACTTTATCCCATCCAAAATGAATCATTTAAGCTAAATCATCTCTCTCTCTCTCTCTCTCCCCCTCCACTTATATTTGGTATGTTATACATTGTCATGAAGATAATAGTAATAACTATAAAACTAATTGATCAAGTCCCAGTATAGCACAGTAGTTACAGTGGCAGTAGTCTCATTGTGACCTTGAAAAAAAATCAATAATAACAATATCATCAATGATAAATAAAAAATAATAATAACCTATTTTCTTAACAGTGTACTTATATTAGATAAATGAGACATTCAGAATTGTATTTTTTTTTTTTAGCAAATGCTCAGACTTAACAAACTGTACAAAATAGGTATTAGCTATAATTTATGTAACAACGGGAAGGTACTACTATGTAAATATATAGGTAGTTCAAACATTTAAAAAAATATAGCACATTGCAAAGAACATAGCTTGTTTTTGATAAACAACAAACCTCCATACTGTATTCAAATGTAAAGAATTGTTTATTAGCTTTTTGTACAACTCATACATATGCAAAGGGAGTAATACTATGTTTAAAGAATATTCCATATAAATTTGGAACTAATAGTCGATATTTTTAAAATGGATAAAGAGCATCCTAATTTTAAGGAAAAAAATGTGTAAATTAGTTTTGGGTTGTTCTCAATATTAACGGAAAATAGGAGAATTTTTAAAAACTTTTAGTGCGATTTCTGATTTTTAGACTTATTGATTTATATTCATTATGATATTTTTTTAATGCGCAAGTTAATTAAATAGTGGTATACAGGAATTTAAATCTTAAATGATTCTTATTCTTTTGAACGGCTGCTGTTTTAGCGATTTCAGTGTAAAACTTAATAAACCCATATGTATTTTGCTTATTCAATATAGGCTGAAAATTTAACATGAAGTTTTTAATAAATAATTGTGGCCTATGAACCATAAAAACCCAGTGGTTGTTTTGCCGTTTGGCAAGCCCAAACAAATGTACCTATTTCTTGTTTACACAACCGTCTTAAAACAACGTGTTATTTTTTAGCTTTTTGTAAACCGAACGCTTTATAGAAAAAATGTTTTTTTTCAAATCATTTCCAAATAATATTATTATATTGGACGTTTTTTTATTTTTATATCAGGTTATTTTACATGGTTACGCCGGCATACTTACCTAAGTTGGGAATGTTTGATTATCATTCTTCTGTAGTTAAAAAATATGTTACTGAAACCTATTTCAAAACGAATAAAGCAAGGTTCAAACATAATGTCATTGTACAGTTGTTTGATATTTTGCTGGAGATACCATACAAAACAAACAACAAAAACCAATATTCGCTTACAAAATATAAACGAAAAATTCAACCGCCCATTTTAAGTTTAGATTTTTATATCGATTTACAATTTACAGTTTTAAAATAAATAATCTGGGCTCGGTTTACGAATCATGAAAACAGTAGTTGTTTCCGAGAGCCTCTCATAGATCTAATGTTGTGTTGCATGAGCAGAAAAATATTTCACATGTGTATTGTTCAAATAATAATATGTTTTACAACCGAAATAGTAATATTGCCTACACACAAAATCTCTATATTTTTTACGACGTTTCATAATTTTTTAACTGATAAATACAATAAAATAAATGTAATGATTTTAGCAATTGGACGACATTTTTGACATGCAGATGTTGCTGAATATTCAGTAAAATTTTACTTGATTGAGAAAACCATGGAATTAAAGGATAAACTACTTGAACAGGAAATTGAGTTTATTATTGGTAAACTTCCGAGTACGTTAAATAATAAAAATTTAGTAATACATATATGTGAAATGTGACCGTGGGTCGTCACAAAAACAAAAAAAATGTTTTTAAATAAACTCGCATCATTGTATTATTTGTTTCTATTTCTAAGTACACAACTATTTGTTTTTAATTTCTACGGAAACGCTGTGGTGGGGTTTGTAATTATAATTTCTATCAAATGTTAATCTATAATCCATCTTCACATTACAGTGGAGTAACATATAATTATAAAATATCGTATTATCATATTTATAATATATTTTGCGTGTACGCATACATAACCATTCTAGTTATAAGGAAAGTAATGTAAAACTATGAAAATTGTTGTTTTTGTCAACTTTGACAGCTGTTTTTCCACGTTTAAACGTTTCAACGTTAAAAACAAAACCTGAAAATCAGTCCCCATAGATAGGTTTTAGCATCGAGCATATAATATCGTAACAATTGTGTTACTTAATAATGTTAGTTGAACCTTAAAGCAAAACTTTTTTTCTTATATTCCAAGTTTGGTAAACCCTTAGAAATTAGCCTTATTTGGCCCATTATGTGTTCGCGAAAACCAGAATAAGAATGCAATTAATGAACATACAAAATTAATTATTCAGTGATATTTAAGTGTATATTAATTATAAAGCATAATATGTAGGTTTTACATTTCATTTTAACATAGGGTATTATTATTGAAGCTACTAGGCGGTGCATTAACAATGGTTTTAAAACTTTTGTGCTCAGTAACTTAATATATTTTTATATATAGATTAAAAATAAATAATCAAACAGCTTTTCTCTCGCTTGCATGACATGTTATTAAATGGTGGCAATCAGAAATTCTTATCGATTGGATAAGACACCGCTAAAACCGACTTGACGAACTCTTGGTCGACATCGGTCAGGAAATGTTTGACTTCTTTGACGTACTTAACAGCTAACTGACGATTTTTGTCTATATCCGTTTGGGTTGTCACTTTACTCCAATAAACGGAGAAGATCTCCGGAATGTCTTCTTCGTTTATCGTCGATATTTCGCAGGCGTTGACAAACTGACAGTGTGCCGTCAGTTGTGTTCTAATATTTTTGAGAGCAGTTTGGGAATCTTCCAGCGAAGGACTTTCGATTTGCAAATGTTTGACGGTTTCGTCAAAGGCCTCGTCGTCGTTCAAACCGATTGTGGTGGCAAAAGAGTTGGCCGTCTCGTACATCGTATAGTTCACGTTCGGTTTGTTATCTCTATGGGCCAGCAACAAGTGAATCCATATGAATCGCAACATGACTAATTTCATCAGGGTCAAGTAAATTTTTTGAAAACTCTTTATGCCTTGACACCCGTCGTACAGGTTCGTGGGTTCTTTGGCCTCGTCGTACGCTTTCCTTAGCTTAGTACTCGCGCGGTCCCATTCTATGTTTATGCCGCCGTCTTTGATGGTTTGATAAAAATTACGCTTAGCCCGTAGAAAACTTTCAGTGTTGACGCGCAAGTTTCTGACATTGATTTGTTTGTAGTTTTCTTTGGTAACGGCCCTCAGGGTCGGATGAATTTCGTCAAAATACTGTTTTATCTGGCTCGCAAAACTTGCCAATTCGTAAGCACCGTATTTTTGTTTACCGCTGTACTCTTCAAAGAACCGGCACTCTTCGTCGGTCACGTCGAATGCATTTTTTCTCGGACACAATTCCGTGGACGCGGCCAGTTGTGCGGTTATCATTTCGTGTATTTTGCCCATTCGTTCGGCGGTAGTTTTTCTCCAATAAAACACCTTACTGTCTTCAACGTACAAATAGACCAGCCACAGTGGATAGATTTTCGCGCTGTCGTACACGCTGTCGATGTTGTAGAGTATCACCATGGCGTCTCGTAGAACACCGTAAAACGGCTCAAACTTAACCTTCCAAGTGTTTGCATTCTCGTCGATGGCGGGCCTCGTCATTCGCATAATCGACAGACATATCGTTTGAACGCCGCACAGTGTGTTGGTCTTGATCTCTTCCACGGTGCTGGCCGGATCTGTTGCACCGGTCTCCGGGTCGGCAATATTGTATCCCACGTGGAAATGTCTCAAAAACGAGTCGTATTGCTTCTGCGGCGTTTGCCCTTTGCAAACCGGCTGGATCGTCGCCTCTACGTTCACAGTGTAAACGCAAAACATCAACGCCAACAATAGCGAACCCCGTTGATCCATCGGAAACGATTAGTTTGTTTCAAGGTTATTATTATTTTTTTATATTTTAAGTACCGCCAAAATCGACTTGGTCGCGCAAGAAAAAAAAATGTTACTGCGCTTTGGACTTAGACTACCGCAAAGCACTTTTTATCTGAACACACGCCAAAAAGCAAATATTATTCACGATTCGGCGGCACATAATATTTAGTTTCTTTAGTTGCTTTAGGTGGCTGTGTAAATAAATGAATACCAACACGGGATAATACTAGGTTTATGTGTGCTTTAGCCACTCGAAACTTTTTTTTTTGTACGATTACAAATGATTGTATGTCTGTAATAATTTGTTTACATTGTTACCCAAATATCGCAATCAACAATAAAATAGAAATATTATTTAGATTCTTGTTGACCGGTTGACAGGATTCACTCACATCAACTAAATACAAAATGTATTTTTTATCCCTTTTTTGGGGGTTTTCCTTAATAAAAAGAAGTGTCACTATACATTTTTTAATAAATTGTATAATATGTTATAGCTCCATTATAGATCTAACTTCGGTTTAAATTTCACACCAAGAAATAGTTTCCACCTCTGCTAGTTTTTGACTCTGCTAATTTGTTTCGTTTGCCAACGCTTTAACGGTAGTAAATAAAATAAATTCTAATTTTAAGTAGAATGATGTTCAAATTTGTTTTGTGATTTTATCGATTCCAAAGGAGAACAGGAGAACTTTTAAAACTTCCAGTACGATTTCTGATTTATAAACTTGCTAGAAAAATAAGTCGGTTCAGCCGTTAAAAGATAACTTGGGTTATCACAAAAAAATATATATGTATATAAAAAACGCATAATAATTGTACTTGTTGTTTTTCTTCTAATTACAGTTCTATTTTTTTTTATATTTATAGAAACGCTGTAGTGGGGTTCATTATTTTAATTCCCATCAAATGTCAATCTATAATTCTTCTTCATTCTTGACATTACAGTGGAATAACAAATAATTATAAAATACCGTATTATATTATTTATAATATATTTTGCCACTCTAATCATAAGGAATGTAATGTAAAACTTTAAAAATTGTTTTTGTAAACTATGACAGCTGTTTTCCATGCAAGAATAACAGTTTAAACATTTGAAAACGCAAACAACCAAATAAAATACGTTTCAAAAAAACAACTTGTTTTCGAAAAACTACAAACCATACTGTATTAAAATTGGCTTTTGTACACTGCATGCATTTGAACTAAAATTAAATATGCAAGTTGAAGACTTAACTAAATATTCGGGTCGGTCACCCTTGTCCTTAACGTAAACTTGACATGATTTTTTACGTCATCCCTATTCGCTATAATTTATGTAACAATGGGTAGGTACTGCCACCATGCAAGAAAATAGTTTTAACATTAAAAAAACAGAATACGTTTTAAAGAACACAGCTTGTTTTTAATAAACAACAAATCATCATGTAATAAAATGTATGGAAACGTGTCTTATGTATCTGACTTAAGGCGTAAAAATATGACAAAAACCACTATTATTCATGTTGTACATCGTAATATGACGGGTAAACAAGTTCGAATTAATACACATTCATATTGATGGCTGGTCAAAGACTGATTTATTACTCATCGACATCACTAATGCCGCCCGATGTGACCGGCGTTGGGCATTACCCTACAATTGAATTGCTTAATATATAACACTTCTGCCCTTGGAGAATAAAATAAAAAGAATATTAACATACATGTAAAGACGGACAATTAAAAATAAATTATACCATATAGGTTTGTAGCTTGTTAATCATACTTATTGGTTATTATAGAAAAGAAAAAAAAACAATATATATGTATACAAAACAACCTTATTTATACTTTCTGAAATCCACTGACACCTTCCATCACGTTCAAACTTATTTTATATGATTTAAACGTACCTAAACCTTCTTCGAAAACTACTTTATACTTATTTATTATTGTTTCTATCCCGTTCCCGTTATGGTGAAATTGAAAGTAGAAATGTCATCAATGCCCAGAACGGCCAAATCGTTTCTACCGACTAGTGGTGGCCCGCCTCTAGGCACGACGTATACCCAGATATGCGCGGCCTTATCTCCGTATTGAACAGGTAATCGGACCTTTCCCACCGGTGTGATTTTGTTCCCAACATAACCTGATAATGCTATATCGTTCTCTACTATGGTTTTCGTTTTAAATAACTACTACATTATCTATTGTACTATTTTTCATTTGTTAACCGATCCAAACAACAACAAATTCAGACTTGAATAATTTTTTTTTACAATATCTCACACGTGTTTCTTAAGTGACACAAGTTAAAAACTTTTGTGTTTTTTGAGTTACCATCATGTAACTTCTGGTGTATCTACAAATTTCATAAGAAGTCTTCGAGTTTCTATGTGGGCTAACAAGAATAAGAATGCAATAATTATTAAATGAATATACAGAATAAATTATTCAGTAATATTTAAATAGATATTATTTATAAAGCATAATATGTAGGTTTTACATTTCATTTTAACATAGGGTATTATGATTGAAGCTACCAGGCGGTGCATTAACAATGATTTTTAAATGTATGTGCTCAGTAACTTAATATATTTTCATGTAGATTAAAACTAATCAAGCCGCTTTTTTCTCGCTTAATTATCATGTTACATTATGGCGGCAATCAGAAATTCTTATTGATCGGATAAGACAACGCCAAAACCGACTTGACGAACTCTTGGTCGACATTGGCCAGCAATTTTTTGATTTTTTCAACGTACAACACGGCTAACTGATGATTTTTGTCTATTTCGGTTTGGGTTTCCACATTCGTCCAACGGCCGGAGAAGACCTCCAGGATGTCTTCTTTTTTTATCGTCGAAATTTCGCAAGCGTTGACCAACTGACAGCTTTCCATCAATTGCGCTCTAATATTGTCGAGAGCAGTGTCGTTGTCTTCGTGCGAAGGACTTTCGATTTGCAAATGTTTGACGGTTTCGTCAAAGGCCTCGTCGTCGTTCAAACCGGTAATGGCGACAAAAGAGTTGGCCGTCTCGTACATCGTATAGTTCACGTTCGGTTTGTTATCTCTATGGGCCAGCCACAAGTGGATCCATACGAATCGCAACATGACCAATTTCATCAGGGTCAAGTAAATTTTTTGGAAATCCTTTATGCCTCGACACCCGTCGTACAGGTTCGTGGGTTCTTTGGCCTCGTCGTACGCTCTCCTTAGCTTAGTGTTCGCTTGGTGCCGTTCTATATTTATGCCGCCGTCTTTGATGGTCTGATAAAAATTGTCTTTGGCCCGTAGAAAACGTTCGGTGTTGACGCGCAAGTTTCTGACATCGATTAGATTGTAGTTGTCTTTGGTGACGGCCCTCAGGGTCGGACGAATTTCGTCGAAATGCTGTTTTACGTGGCTCGCAAAGCTTCCAAATTCGTAAGCACCGTGTTTTTGTTGACCACCGCTGTACTCTTCATAGAACCGGCACTCCTCGTCGGTCACGTCGAATGCATTTTTTCTCGGACATTTTTTTACGGACGCGGCCAGTTGTGCGGTTATCATTTCGTGTATTTTGCCCATTCGCTCGGCGGTAGTTTTTCTCCAATAAAAGTCCCTACTGTCTTCGACGTACAAATAGAACAGCCACAGCGGATAGAGGTTCGGGCTACCGTAGACGCGGCCTATGTTGTAGACTATCGCCATGGCGTCCCGTGGAATTCCGTAAAACGGCTGCAACTTAACCTTCCAAGTGTTTGCATTCTCGTCGTGGGCGGGCCTCGTCATTCGCATGATCGACAGACATATCGTTTGAACGCCGCACAGTGTGTTGGTCTTGATCTCTTTCACGGTGCTGGCCAGATCTGTTGCACCGGTCTCCGGGTCGGCAATATCGTATCCCACGTGGAAATGTCTCAAAAACGAGTGGTATTGCTTCTGCGGCGTTTGCCCTTTGCAAACCGGGTGGATCGTCGCCTCCACGTTCACAGTGTAAACGCAAAACATCAACGCCAACCGTAGCGAACCGCGTTGATCCATCGGAAACGATTAGTTTGTTTCAAGGTTATTATTATTTTTTATATTCCAAGTGCTCTGCCAGAGTCGATTTTTTGTCGAAAATAAACCGTTCGACTGCAGCTATTTGATTGAATTCGAGCATTCGAGATCTGCGCACCTTCCATTTTACGATTTTCACAAAAAAGCAAAAACAAATATTACTCACGTTTTGGCGGCACGTAACGTGTAGTTGCTTTAGGTGTTTTAGGTGACTGTGTAAATAAATAAATACCAATACGGATAATACTAGTTTTATACGCACATAGCTCTAAGGCTGCGAGGAGGGGGCGGGGCTGAGGGGCTTTAACCTCCTAGTATTGAATTGGTTCCCTCCACATTTTTTCATTAATTATATGCATTTTTTTTTTAAACAATTCTTTTACAATTTTTAGTACCTACAATTAGAGTTAATCGTGTGTCTATAATAATTTATTGTCATCATTGGCCAAATATCGCATTCGACAACAAAATAGAAATATTTTTCAGATACCGGTTGTCTGGATGACAGGATTCACTCACTCATATCAACCTATAATTTTACTACGGTCAAAATTGATTTTATCTCTTTTTTGGAGGGGTTTTCCTTAATAAAAAAAAAGTATCACTATAATTTTTGAAAAAATTATAAAGCATAGTATGTATGTTTTACATAGAGTATTATTGAAGACACAATGCGGTGCATAACAAACAAACACAACAAATGGTTCAACCATTCGAAAAAAACAGAATACGTTTAAAAAACATACACTTGTATTCGATAAACAATAAACCATAAAATATCGTATTATATTATTTTTTGCGAAAATGCGCCATAGCTGTTTGCTAATCATAAGGAATGTGATGTAAAACTATGAGGAATTGTTGTTGTACACTATGACGGCTGTTTTTCCATGCAAGAAAAATAGTTTAAACATTTAAAAACGAAAACAACCAAAAAAAATATGTTTCAACGAATACCTACACTAAAACTCTCGACATTTTCAGCCAATCTTTCTCAATTTAAACAGTCAATAAAAGACATACGTGTTACCATTTGTTGACAATGCTTTAACGCTTAAGGGGTGAGATTATGTTTTTGAAAAAGTTCACAGTATGATCATTTTATCGTGAGCCACTCAATATCCCATAGGGTTTAGCAAGAAATTCATTTTTCATGTTTTTATACAATGTAGTCTTAATCTTTAGTTTTATCTCCCCTTCTCCCAAACTTAGTTTATTTATAGCAACTTTTGAAACTTTAATGGTAATGCATACATTTTATTAACGTTTTTAATTGAGAATAATGTACTAAACTTACTGGTCATACTTTAATAAAACTGTTTCCACATAGTTTCTGAATAACACTCGCTAAATAATGTTTTTAATTTTTTTTTTAAAGATACAAAAATAATTTACCAGGTAAACAACGCCGATATGTATTATTTAATACAAATGTATTGAAATTTAATAGAGTACCTGATTAATTATGTACAATGTACAATGTTCTAGGAAATGGTTTAAATATTTAAAACGACAAAATAAACAATGTACAATATTACTATTTCAACTTTATTGATTGAAAAAATAATTACAATGCGTGTAACATACAGTACATGACAGTTAGTGTATAGACTATTAATGTAATAGTATAATTTAACTATTATTTTTTACTTTCTTGATTTTTAAATACCAAGTATGGTAATTGAAATGTGAAAACAATCGATAATGTAACTTTAAAAAAATCCGTATGTTTTTAGTTCCATAAATATGTAGACAAAATATATTTTAGCGTTTGAATTTTAAATTTTCATCAATCCGTTCGTTTGCCATGACTCTATAATGGTCTATCTCAAATTTGTCTATCCATATTTAAAGCTAGTAATAATAATAATGTAATTGATTAATCTGTACAAAATATATTAGTTATTCAATTATCAAAGCTGTGTGATTTGTTTTTCTGTTAACAAATAAATTGCATCCAAATTTGTAGAAAAATTTGAAAATTATGAAAAATGTCGTCGGTCGGCCCTTAACGTGGCATTTTGTTGGACAATTAAATATACCAGAACAAAATATGTTCTTTGACATCATGGCAAAAAAATAAGATTATTATATTATTTTACTTTTAGCTGAATACAAGGTGGACCTTAGTTATCATATTTACAAATAAAGTTAATAAAAAAAAATATATTTACTAGTTATTTAACTAATATTTGTTTATTAATACATCCATTATATAACAACAATAATTTATGAATAGTATAATAAATGGCATCAACTTAAAACTATAAATATTTTAACAAAAAATTGAATTATCAATAACAAAGTGATTTTTTTGTTTCAGTCTATGTGCTGGTTACATTTCTGGAATTTTACAAGGAAAACCACAAGAAGAATGTGTCGCGATTGGATTGAGAGCGGCCACCAGAGCATTAATGTCCCACTTGCCAGTTCCCCCGAGCTTAATACATAATAAAAACATTTAAAAAAAAACAAAAAATATTATTGACACAACTTTTGTAACTGTTATCAAAATGAAATTATTGTACTAAGATGTAAACAAAAATTTGGGATAAAAATAATAAAAAAGTAACCCTTATGCCAATACTTGCATATGCACTAATAATGGGAATCTGAAAATCCGTACTTGCACAAAAAAAAAAAAACGCTATTTAAGCCACTTAAAAGTATTAAATATTTTTACGATATAAAGTTGTGTACCTAAGTAAAATAATTTTGATGAATATATAAAAATAAAACATACAACACCAAAAAGAAAATTTGCTTTTGGACTTTTGATTTGTTGAAATTCAAAAGCCTTTTATGTCTGTTATATTTTTAAATTTTCATCAAAAATTTTTTCTTAAGTACAAAGCTTTATAATGTAATAATATTTAATAATTAAATGACTTTTTAAGTGGCTGAAATACAGTTTTTTTTTAAAAACCGGACTTTTGGATTCCCGTCACTAATGTCATACACAATTACATAAAAAAATAAAGATAGTACAAAAGCGTAACTATAATATAGCTTGAGCGATCGCTTTCTCCTTAGCGATTCTGGGCGTTTCGTATTTACACACAACGGAAAACATGTCCCCGCCCAGCCGCTTTGCTAGCCATCTGTTTTTGATTATGGCTAATTTGAGACTATCACAAGTGAACTTTGCGTCCAGATTTGTGTGGACGGCACGGCCCATTCCTTCCAGTACGATCAAGTCGACAGTACTTAATTCGTTGGCCAACTCGCGTCCCAAACGACTGAAAAAAAAAAAATTGAACTGTTGAATTCGTAATTGATAAAAAAAAAAAAATCTCACCTCAGATCCAAACAAGGACCGCCCTGAGCTGTTTCCATTGATTTCAGTGCGCCTTCGTCCAAGCCTTTGGCGATAACGGGACAAATGGACGACGCGTGTCGTAACAAAACTACCAGTTCGGAATGCGTAACATCGTTGAGCGCCGGAGCAGAATTCGCACACAGTATCACAGTTGAGCCTTGACGAAGGAACTCCCTGGCCAATGGCAATATTCCCAGTACAATGTCGAATCCACTGTTGTCGATGAAAATGGCGATTCTTTTATACTTCTCGTTGTATATCTTTTGTACCCAATCGTCCAAGTAATCCATTAACCAAGGTCTGGCTGCCGTTTATAATATTAAATTAATTAATAAATGTAACTTTTAATTTTCAAACTGTCAACCATACCAGGAACTTTGTTTCGAGCTTGTTTAAAGTCAAACTGTCCCGATTTCATCAGAGCAACAGTTTCTTTGGCGCCCCAATCAAAAGTGTTTCCCGCCAAAACACCCATAATTAATTCTACTTGACGGTTCTTCACATTTAAAGTATCCAATTCTGTCAAACGCTCTTGCAAACAACTTAACGCTTCCTCGTTTTCAGTTCGTTTTTGCTAAAAAATAAAATAAAAATTTTAGTTTTAATCGTTTCAATTTTAGGTAATTTTTACGTTGTAAGGGTAAAAAAATTAATTTTTTTTAAAAATCAAGGAAAAGTATGAGATTTTTCTTTTTAATTGAAAATAAATGCACGAATGCACTGAACTGAATTATTAAAGTAAATAAGCAGTATACCAAATTTACAAACAAATTAATTAAGTATAGATAGAGTTTTTTTTTTAAATGGAGATATTTTTAAAGCGTTTTAAAAAATAAAATCCTCAAATAAAAACCAGCTTTACAGAAAGACCAAAACATATGGTTGAAATTGAGGAATTATAATTTTTTAAGTTTTTTAACTATAAGACTTATAATAGCATTTGGTTCAAACACTTTTAGTTTTAAATAACCTAGTCCCAAAATTATTATTATCATATTATAGCTATTGCTCTTTTATACTGTTTGATCAAATTTGCTCTTGAGAAAAATAAAACAATTTTTTTTTTTTTTTATTTCACCTTAATTTTTAGAACGTGTCACATAATATTGTACATAATGTGTAGATACTTTTAAAATGAAATAATATTTTTAAATACGTTAGAAAGTATAAAATCGATTGTTTAAATATACTCATTAAATACACTTACAGTTAAGTAAGGGTCAGGAAAATCAAATTCTTTTAGACAATGATTAATAGTGTCCAGAAGACCTCTTACAGTCAAATTGCCATAAGTACTAAAAATAAAAAAAATAATTAACACATTAGGTATAATTAACGTATTAATACGACTTTAAGATTTTCATTTGGCATTCGTAAAGTTTTATGTCAGTGGAAAACCTATGAAATTCAGTGATAGTGTTAGTGGTACCGGAAAACACAAACATTTAATAAGAAATTGTGCAACCTCATACTTTAACAAAGGTACGTGTACGACCGAGCAAAGTATGACCGAAGTGGCGTAAAATCTTAAAAGTTTCGACATTAAACTGATTGGTAAAAAATAACATAATACTTGAACGCAAATGAAAAATCTAATAAAAAGTAATTCAAATATTACAGCACTTGTAAACTATATAATATGACTACAAGTGTTACCGAACATCGGATGATTCCTAAAGAACGGGACGCGTGCCTAAATAGCACATAATTTTAAATTTAGTTTAGATCTTGATAGTGAATGTTTTACTTATAAAATTGAACCATCTTAAAAAACATTTTTTTTTTTTTACTTGTTTTATAACTGTTTCGACCTAGCTCTTACAAAAAAAAAAACCAAGATTTATAATAGTTCAAGTTTGATACATATTATTATAGTAATCCGAGTAAAAGTAAAAATTAAATATGTTTCTTACAAAGGTTTGATTCTCAGCAACTTTACTCTGGCTATGAATTTCTCTTTAAATTTCTCAGATCGAGATTTGGCTGTATCGCTAGTTGGTTGACTGGCGACGGCGTAACTTACATAATTTTCAATGCTTTGTTCAAAACAGTCCAACCAATATTCCCTTGAAAAAAAAAAAACAATATAATTTAAAATAGAAAACTTAAAGAATTTAAAAATTAAATAACACTGACCTGGCTTCTTTGTCAGAATTCAAATCGACGGTATCAGGAATATAGCTGGCCGGATCCATCAGTAAAGGACAAAACGTTAACGGAGATTCCCAACGATCGAGTTCCAGTTGATCCACTCGTTTTCCGCCCGTCAGGCGTGTACTGTTGCTTCCACTGCCAGCATAATTTTCTTGCCACGAAAACTTGTCGCCATCTATAATGGACAAAAGAAAGTTCTAAAATATTAAGATAAGATGATAATGATATTAAAACAACACATCGATACTTACCACATTCCTCGGTACCTTTCAAAAAGGCTCCAATCGCTCCCAAATAGCCTTCGTGTCTAAGGAAAAGGCTTTGCACTGTGCCGCGAGACCAAAAGTTTATCGAGAAAGAAATAGTGTGCATACTTAGCGAATGGTTTCTCAAGAAATATCCTCCGAAGTACACCTACAAAATACAATATAAAGTCAAAGTCTACGACACAATTAACAAAAGAAAATATTTATAATAATAATAATAATACAAATATATAGGTACTTTTTTTAAATTGTGCATCATCGCATATAAACAAGCGATTTGGCCAATGTCGTTGCTGATTGAAAACAACAAACTTCTGGCTAAGTCCGCTTCGTTATAATCACTTTCTAAACACAAAACCAGCTTAAAAACGTAAACTTTTTTTTAGCTACAAATTCTTTACAATGTTACCTGAATTACGTCTTGGACATACTTTACCAAATGACGAGGCGATCAAATCCGAGTGCATGCCAAGATTTTGATAATCGCCGCCATAGATATCCTTAACGAGCATGTCGGCCTTTCTGTGATCTCCTTTTTCGGCCAATTCGAGCAGCTCGTCGAACGATTTCGCTTTGGTCAACAGCGTACCGAGGCCCCAGAACGTGCCTCCGCCGGTCGCTGTGCCGCCGATTCGCTCGTAACAGTCATCAGATTCTACTTTCAATATGCTCACACCAGAACCAATATTGACTAACATGTACGGAAATACATGAGGATCGGCCACTTGAAATTCATACTCTGGACTGCCGTGTCTATGGTAGACAAACGCTTCATCGCTAATGTTCTTCAACAAAAAATTACAACCTTTGATGAGGCAGGTTAATTCATCCTCTTTGTCAACGCTAGAATTCAAATGTTAAAAATCCATTAATTATCGAACATAATATTTCAGGCGGTGGGCAAAATTGGGGATTTAAAGACACAAGTAAAAAACTATGAATGAAAAAAAAAAACAATTTGAATTGTCATTCATTGCATACCTAATTAAAAATAATGTCTTAAGGGTTATATTTTGATAAACGAAAGTGATTCTATCTTAAAGTGTTTTAGAGTTTATTGTAATTAAATATCGAAAAAATATATACTAAAATCCAATTATAGAGTCAAAATAGGCTAAACTACCATTTTAAGGATTTAGAAAAAATTGAAATACAAGTGACAACTCACGATAGGCCCAATTTGTCTTGAATGAGTTTGCTGTACTTATGTGCACCTCCACCCGTGGCTTTGATACTTTTTCCTTTCCGTTCATCAGTATTAACCAAGTTGTCACCAATGAAGTCTAAACAATTTTCAATGTATTTTGTCTCAAACTTTACAAAATGTAACCGCGCTTGTTCAGAATACGTGTAAACGAATTTGTCCTGTTTCTATAAAATATCAAGAATTAAAAGTCTTAACAATAAATGAATCAAGTGGCTATTTACGCATAATATAGCATACATCATCTTCGGTTTTACTACTGTCTTTATTAATGTCATCGGCCGCATAATATACTCGTCTGAATGATACAGTCGAGTAGTATGCTATTTTCGTCAGTGAACCACCTACAACATATTATAGTAATCACAAATTTAATTACATTTGTCATAGATCACTGGTGCTTTTTTTACCTAAGTAGGCCCAAGTATTTTGTTTAATAATTGCCTTACAAAGAAACACATACAATATTTACATTGTTATGCCTATTTTACGTAAGAGATTCGTATTATTGTTGATATTACTTACCGATATCGATGGCAAATTGCTTGGCGTTTTTCAAGTTTCGGAAAACTTCAAGTGTGTCTGGAAGTTTTATACTGTTCGGATTGCCCTTTTCTTCCATATTATAATACTATTAGTGTACAAAAATTACTTTGGCAACAAAAAATAGTACAATTTTCGAAATACAAAAATTAAGTAGTTGCAACAGAAAAAGAGATTTTTATATATAAATAATTGTATAATATTCTAATCCCGGAAGTCTGTAGAGACTTATTAAAAAATTGGTTTTAAATTATTCATAATTTTTGATTTTCCATTTTGTTCTTTGTTAATTGATAGTTGTATAATTTTGATAACGATTTGATAATACTGATAACGTTATCAGATTATGGTGTTTCAGAATGATAAGAACACTTAATATTCAAAGTGGATTTATCAAATATCAATCCACCGTGCTAAAATATAGTAAATCATAAATGCTTATAATATATTTTGTGTATCTATCTATCTATGATTGTTGGTGGCATAATAAATAAACAGTTCTTGTTGCAATATTTGTTACCCCAACTTCGGTTTAAGTAGATATAAGTTAAAGTTAACAATAGTAAGTTATGTATGTATTTTCGTATAGGTATTACTTTTAACTACTGATTTGCATATAATAAAATAATATAATAAATAATGTGAATCATTCATCACATGTGTCATGACGTAGGTGAAAGCTAGATGTGTCAAACGCAATATTGTAATCATATTATCAAAAAAGGAAATAAAATTATTATTTCTTTTACTAGTTATAGAAGGCGCCATAAATATTTAATTGCAGTAAAAACGATAACCCTGCAGTGAAGGTTATCTAAAATTATTCACTACTGGATAGGTCCCTACACAGCACAATTATGGCCTATAGAAGAACAGATGCAAAAAAAAAATGAAGTTGTATTGTTCAATGTATATTTTGGTTTTCATTGCAAATTAAAGTCAAAATTGTGTTAAACAATATAATTGAGTACAAACTGTATGAAATAGCCAATTGGTAGTATATATTTGTACTAATATAGTAAAGGCAATATTTGTACTAATATAGTAATTAAATTCCATCTTTATAATAATATTAAAATACGTTAACACCAATACCAGTTAACTTTATTAAAAATATTATGTACTTATTTATCTCGCATGGAATAATTGCGTTGTATTTGTTTTTTTAACATAACATGTTAAATACACATTCCGGTTATTGTTTTTCAATTAAAATATCCAGTAATATTTTTAATAGCTTTTTTTTTTTTTTTGCATTTTTGACATTGTTCAAGGTCAGAGATAATAACGACGTTTATAGTACAAGTTATGTCTTAAGTCATGCAAAAACCATTTCGGTTATTTTTTGATAGTCGTTCATTACATTGGTTTTGCAATATTATGCTATACCTACATCAGCTTCGTAGATAATTTTGTATCCGCAAACAACGTGGCACGTGGAATACACCATGTAAAAAATAATATAAAAATGCAGATAAAAGTTAGGTAAACGATAAATATACTATACTCGTATTTATTACATTATTTCAGTTAATATCTTATCTATAATGTATTAATCTTTGTTTTATGTAGTATTCTTTTTTAAGGGGGTCGACACAATTGTATTTGTCATTGAAGCTGTAAACGGTTTTTCTTTTAAAGATACCTATACTTGGTTTTTGTGCAAGTGGCTTTCAATGTACCTATATGGGAAATTATTTCTCTGGAATAATATGCTAAAAAATTTAAATCAGTTTTTTTAAGACTATGCCTTCAATGTATTATACATCTTCAAGACACCGGCTTAACTTCTTGAATCAATAGGTGAACAGTAAACTTACAATAATATGTTGTGAGCTTGTCGTCGAAACACAATATTTTAATCATGGCGATGTAACAGTTATGGTTTTATGTCATTTAATACATTTTTGGCCAATTTTTTGGTGTGTTATTATAAATGTCTTCGAATACCATACAGAAATTACCCGTGTATTTATTAAGAAGAAGTTTATCAAATGTTCATTTATAGTGTATTTGAATGTTATTTTAGGATAATATAGAAATTGAGTTTTCAAAAATAAGGCATTTGTAGAGTTGGCCAAACGTACCTACACTGTAATCTAGTGGTGTGATGTAGTAGCAACCACGTTAAATAAAGTATAAAATCAACTATATTACTCACAAGATCGCAGTATATTTAATGAACAATCGCGGTCAGGATCCGGAACAATAAAAAAGTAGGTATTACCCTATTGTAATATGTTTAATGAATTTTTCTAGACCACGTTAGTTGGTAGTAAAGGTTACAAACTATATTTAACTACTAATTTTGTATAACATTAATTACTTATAAATATAAATTCTTATAATCAATTTCTAGGTTTTTTTTATTATCCAATTTTTTTAATTTTTATTGATTTTAAAGAGAAAGTTTATAACTGTCCTGGAAATTAATTACTTTGTTTAAAAAACAAACACAAAAATGCACACATTGAGCTAAAATTGTGCAATTATTAAAGACTAAAGTATTAGAAAATTTCGAAATATAATTTAAAGTTGTTGTGTTTGTCTTACAGGTTAATTAGTGAAATAAGAACTGGGTGTTACAAAACTAACACCTATTGGTATTATTACAAGGATGAGTTTTTTTTTGTGTTAATAAATTATATTATTCTTAATATTTTACCTAAGCTATTTATAAACACTGGTTTTGTCCGAGTAAAATATTTTATAATATTTAATAGTATTTTCTGTTGTTGTATATTAATTTTAGTGCATAATTTTAATTTTAATACTTCTGTTGTCCTTCTAAGCTGTTATAGTTTGTACGTAGCGTCGATACGATGGTTTTAACCTCTACAAACATAATGAGTCCCAGAAATTATTATCTATTAATGCATTTGAACAGTCAGCTCGTTATTACGGTTAATACGGTTTATTTGTACATAATATATTGTTGGATATATTAAGTATGTAATTTTTTTTGCTTTTACATGAAACTCCGAGTTGCCAAGCTCGTCAAAATAAATATTGTGTATACGGTCAACAAACTATATTTTATAGCCGTAATGATGGAAGGTGATATTTGTCGTTATAGATATGACTGAGAGCATTTGTAGAAAATATGATTCGAACATAACGCCAAAATGCCATTAAAAGTTCACCGGGCAAGTTTCCTTTGAACTGGGCACCATTTTCCTTGGTCTTGAGAGACGATTTAAAAAAACAGAGCTCACATATAGTCAGTGGCAGACTCGTTTAATGATCTGATTTCAGCTACGATATGACCGTTGTACATAGTTGAATTTTTTGTTTTGTTTTTCCTGTCAAAAGTTTGTGCCCACTCGATAGGTTTTGAGTTTTTTTTTTATCAATCTTTTTGTCGATTAAATATCCGCAAGTATTTAATTGACACCTCGACGCGACAGATAAGATGTTGAAATGTCCACTTGTTTCCCATATAAGAAATTACCACTTATAATTGTACCTAGAGTTATCTGCCTCCCTCCTCTCCACTAATTAATTACAGTTCTTTTTATGTGCAATATTAGGAATTGAGATAAAAAATTCAGATCTGAATAGGTTAACAAATAAATAAAAATATGCCGTTAGTTACCGTTAAAACATATTTTATTTCACACAGTTTTCAAAAAAGTCTTTTACATAAGTGCCACTGTACTCTTAACCGAATAATATTTGGTTAAATGTAGCGAATAAAAAACCTATACCCACATTGTTTTTTTTAGTAAATGTATAAAATAAAATCATTAACTCTGGCAATTATTAACTACTAGGGAAAAAGTTTGCCGACAGACGAATGGGCACCATAGTGTTTGTAGAGTACTGTTTGAAACGCGAAAGTTTCGTTTCTGCTTGAGTAGTCTTAGAGGGTCCGACGTGCGGTAAAGTATTACATCGAATTTATATTTGTTTCTCGAATCTTGTACGTGCTGCATGTATGATATTTTTCGAGGTGTCCAAATGTAAACGGGCCAAAGGTGTTAGTAGTCGAGTAATTTTTAAAGCTCAAAAACCCCGTGCACGCGTCCATTTGTCTAGAAACTAGACACATGGCCAATGAAGGCGGCACGTCTACGCACACCCTGCCTCTCACTCGGCCAACTCGCTGGGATTTGGACCGCAAACGGTTAATACAACTTGACGAAATAACGCTAAATCGGCATCCAACAATAGTTTAAAATCCAAAAACCTATTTTTAAAGAGTACGATCTCGGACGTTGTATCAAAATTCTCATGATTGAATTACGTTTGTTTAGAACATGTTTGGAAAATTCGGTGTGCGATAAACGGAGGCTAGAGTGTATGCACAATCACAATAACACTATTGATACCAAAGAAGGTATGAAATAACATCACGTGCCGGTAAACGTATTGACTGGTACATTAATACAATTGAAAGTATCAAAGTATAAGAATGAAAAAAGGAGTAGAGGCTAGAAAAAAAAAAATGCTCTCCAAATACATATTATTAATTGTCATGGAGTATAGTCTACTTGGTAAAAAAAATACACATTTAATTTAAGTACATTAGAGAAGGGCTTCAGCCTTCATAGCACCCCCTCAGGAGTGTTTTCAGGAGTTTAACGCTCCTGAAATCACCAAGTATTAGAAGATGTGTTTCTTTTATTAGAGAAACGTTTATTTTTTTGTTATTACTGAACAAATACCCTAACATCTACCCTTCGATAGGATTTACAAATATTACTGTACCGAGACAAGTGAATTTTAGTTACAAAATATATTTTACCCGACATCACACACAAATCTGATACTGAATTTGGACAATTAAATTTGGCTTGGAATTGTCGATACATACTTGCCTCTGCCAACTCTCGGCCATGTCATTTTACCAGTTTTAAAAACGCACTTAGTTTACCGGAACGAATTATGAGTAGGTATATTTTCGAGCAGTTTTAAAAAATCAATTCATTTAGGTATATTTTGTTATGCTTTAGTGTTATTGCACAATTGCCATACGTTTAAACCGTATAACATAACAGTCTATGTTGGATTAATTGAGTTTGTTCGAGCCGAGTTCTTACAGCTTCCTGTGAACCTATTTCAATAATGTTACCGGTACACGGTATAATATAACAGTTGTAAATACACAAACAGTATAATATATTATACTGTGTTTAACTACAGAGGGGCTTGTTCGAGTAAACGCCGTTTTATTTACACGGCAGAGTTGTAAACTTTGCGTTTCCATAAAATTAAGCTTAATCGTTTGGTAGTAAACAAATTAGATACCGAATTATCATGGTTCTC